CTCTCATCAGATCTTTAACAATGGGCATTTTTAAAAGGACTTCGTCATTTATAGACAGTTTATGTTTTACTCAGGTGCTTTTGCAAAAGTATTCCTACAAAAGAGCTTCATCTTCAAGGAGATTTATGGAAAGTACTCTGGCAAGCACAGGCTTCTGTTAACTTCAATATCGTAAAGATGACCTGGGTAAGAATTTCCAGAACAAATGGAAAGAACTGTATTCAAGCAGAACAAGATAGGACTGAATAAATTAATAACATAGAACTGAATGAACTGAGGAGGAGGATTATAATTTTTATGACTTTTTATTTGAAACATTGCTGCTTTAATGTTTTATTTTTTCAGATTTGAACAAACTTTTTGTCTTAATCTATTTATGACAATAGTTTGGTAAAGTATACCTTTGTAAACAAAGACGAAACATTTACTTTTCATCCCTACCTGATCCCTTCAGAATTTGGAAACTCTTGGTTATTCTTTTTATGACAAAATTGTTAGTTTTTACATAAGTTCAGTGAAAGTCTGTTCTCCTAACAGATTACCAAGGCTTTCACTGGAATGTCATATTTGAGAGATGTGTATAGACTCAGATATGACCAGACAGCTTTAAAGATCTAAGGATGACTTTATAGAACTAATAAAGCCCCTTGGAAAAATTGACCTGGTACCTCTCTTAAAAAAAAAAAAAGCAGCCTTTAAAAAGAATGCTCATATGGCCAATCACTATTCTTACTACACCTATATAAATAATCAGACCAAGTTTACTGCAAATTTGTTTTACTGTATCTTTGGTTAAAAAAAAGTCAGGGTGATTGCAGAGAGAAAAATTATGTTTGTACCTTTGTCTATATTAGATTCTAACCTGTTAATTGTCTTTGAGATTTTGTCATATACCTGTAAACTGGACTGGGTCCTCTATTCTCTTAGTTTTCTCAAATATCTGCTACAATTCTCCATACCAACATTTCCAATGTTCTCCCACATTTCTGATTTGGAACCACTAAGAACAATGCCCTTGAATCTCCTTGGAAGGGACTGTACCAGGTCCTCCTCACTACTCAGATGGCAGTCAAACTTCAGGGGCTTGAACCTTAGGTACATATCTTGCAGCTGAAGGACTTGACATCTGGTCCTATACACCAGCTGGACACTTCAAAATAAAATTGACTAGGAAGGGAAGTAGACAGCATTGGTAAATTGCTTCTACCCAAGATGCCAGATCAAGACTTCATACTTTAACTGAACATGAAACCCTTTCTTCTTCCCTTTCTTTCCTTTACTTTGGCCCTGGCCTGGAAAGATAATGCTGTTATCTGTATCTTCCAGGTCATTACTAAGGGGGTCACCCTTCAGACTACAGGATTTGTCATCAAAAGCTCTGATCTATCCACAATTCTAGAGATCTCTGGTCCATTTTCCTGTCTCTGTTAACAACCACAAACCCAGGGAACCTTGTATCCTGCAGACTCAAATAGGAACTACCAGGAGACATCCATGATTCAAAATTAGCTTGGTTGAGCACCATTCCTCTGGTTAGGAATAAATGTAAGTGAATCCATGCCCAGGAACTCTCAACTCTTGAAACTGTTGTGGAATCTACTGCTAAAACAATAGCTGCCCAAGAAAAGTCCTTAGACTCTCTGGACAAAGTTTTTCTTCATAACAAGACAGTCCTTAAGTATCTTCTAGTTGAGCAAGGAGGTGTCTGTATTGTAGCTAATACCACCTGATATACCTGGGTTAGCAATCCTGGGGAAGTTGAAACTCAGTTATATAATATCACTGAACAAGCCACTTGGCTTGAAAAGGTGGTTCCTTCAACAGGGGTCTTTCTTTGACTTACCTAATTTTGATTGGTTTGGGTCTTAGGGACCTTGGCCCTGAAGTGCACTTCAGACATTGGGAATTATCCTGTTTATAATAATCACAGTAGTCTCCCTTGTGCACTGTATTCTCTCAATAGTTTTAAATGCATCTTTACAGCTACTAACCACCAAGCATGATCTCCCTTAGACTAAGATGTCAGAAAAGGAATGAAGAAAATAACCAACTTAAAAATTGTGTGAGGTCATGGCCTGTGAATATCTCAGGGATTAAGAAAAAAAAACATCATGACTTTTGAGTACCACACAAAAAATCAACAAAACTTCAAGAACTTAAGAGCAGTGGCTGGGAATGGTTCTAATTCCTTAAATTTTGATCCCATTTTTCTGTTTAGCTGAGAGTCTGATCAAGAGGGGAGTTGTTAAAAAAGACAACCGGCCCAAAGGGGAGTCACTCATGCTAAGCCCCATGTCAGCAACCCAAGACTTAATTGCTAACCTAATCACAGTTACAGCCTCTCCCAGGAATGTAACCTATAACCCGCCATCTGGAATCACCTGGTCAGCACTGGTGAGGAAATCTTCCTAACAGACTCCTTCTGTTCCTCTTAGGAAAACAACCTTGCCTAAAACAATGCTTGCTAATAAACTTCCTTTTTTCACACCCAATTTCTGCCCTTAAAAAACCTTTCCTTTTCTACTGTTCTTCAGAGCTCCTTTCTGTGTGCTAAATGGGATGCTGCTCAGTTCATGAATTGTTGAACAAAGCCAACTAAATCTTCAAGTTTATCAGTTGAATTGTGTTTTTTACTTTTTTGGATTTTATTTTTTAATGCATTGTATATCATTTGTATGGTTTTACATTTTTACCATGTACCTGTATTACTTTTTTGAGTTATTTTAAATTTAAAATTAATAAAAATAATAAAAGTCCCATCTGACAGTCCACCTATTTTAAGCAATTTAGCAGAATAAAATTCTAGGACAAGAAAATCACTTGCAGAGTTTGTGGGAGTTGACCTGAGCTCTTCCAGAAAGCTTAAGTTATGGAATGGGAACCAGGAGCCCCCAGTCCAGGGGAGGATGCAGGTTGGTTTGATCACAGGGCCTTCTTGAAACAGTTGTTTGAAGGAGGTGAGAACATAGACAAGCAAAGGGCACTTATCCTAGTTAATCTGCTGATTACTGCTTTGTATTTTTATCAGAAAGAGATTGAGAATTGGGGGTTTTGTTAATTTTAGGGAATGGCTTTGGATCAATGAAAGTCCCCTTTTTCTTCATGTCCAAACCTGAAGAATGGACAAGGGTGCCTAGTTGTGACTCTGGGAGCAAGCAAGGACTTCTTTACCAGATATAAAAGAGTTTTTCCCCACTGCACAGAGGCAGGAAGGGGAGACATCCATTTTCAACAAAGATGGTTTCCTATACACGGTGGCCAATTCAGGCTTGGCTGCACTGAGGATAAGTTCCCCAGGAGAGCCTAGGTCTGAACACTGGAAGACCAGAGCTCTAGCCCCAGCTCTGTGTAACTGGGCATAAAAGCTCAGGAAAGGGACTTCTCTTCCTGGGACTCAGTTTCCTCACTAGTAAGATCAGAGTCTTAGACTAGAGCCTTATTTCCTAGACTTTAACCATTCGCATGCCTTATACATGATTTGGGCCAAATCTACCTCTCCTATGTACATAACATCTTTAAATGGATTCACTTTTTAAAATTAAATAAATTTATTTTAAAAGGAAATTTTATATCCTTGTAATAAACAGAAAACCAGTATCACTTGACATAAACAGAAGGCAACTGTATAAAAAAACAAAAACTAAAACTAATGTTATTACAATTATCACTTAAAACTAACAAACCCACTGATAGATCTTAATAGCATAAAAAGAGTGATAACAAGCACATAGCTCCTAATATAATTAAATTGGTAGTACAAAACACCACCTATGAGGTGTTCTTGTAAAAACTTGAATGTGAACTTGATCAGTCTCTGGATTTAACCACCAATCTATAGGAGATCCAAGGGACAGAGGAACATGTTATATGACACTATGGGAATGCAGCCAACTCCTATTCAGAACATGCAAAACTTAACATGACAATTGCCTACTTTCTTCAATCAGCAAGAGGAAGGAAAAAGGGGAATAAATGCATAAACTGAGAGATATAAGGGACAGATTAATACCATACATGAATTTTTATCTGGATTCTGATTCAAATAACCAAATGTTACTATAATGAAGCGATTGGGAAAATTTGAACACTGACTGTATTTTTACTGTCATTAAGAAATTATTTTTAATTTTTAAGGGGTAATAATGATACTGTGGATATGTTTTTTAAAAGGGTCATTACATTTTAGAGATACATGCTGAAGTAATTACAGATTATATGATACAATATCTGGTATTTGCTATAAAATAATATGGGGGATGAGGGTGGGAATGCAGATGAAACAAAATGGACCATGAATTGATGACTGTTGAAGCTGTGTGGGATAAATGGAAGTTCATTATGCAATTGTTCTACTTTATGTATGTTTGAATTTTTTATAACTAAAAGAAAATATTAAAAATAATGAACTACAAATGATAAATCTAATTAACTTATAAAATAAAAAATATATTTATACAAATACATTTCATGCTGATAAGGTTTTGTACTTTTGACTCATATAATGCTCCTATTAAAGGCCACACACAGAAGAAAGAAGAGTTACTCAAAGAAGAACATGAGGATGAATTTTATGTGGAAAAAAATCTCCTTTATTGCAAAATTTGTTCCTAAGAAGTATTGAGATCTTAATTTTTTTCACTTTAAGAGCTAGAAAACAGTCATTCTATTGCTTTTGATGAAAGTAAACAAAGTATCATCATGGGTCTATCATCATGGGTCTGTAGCAATAGTATTCATGAAATTATAGGTTTTATATGGTAGTTATTTCCCTGATAATCATTAAAATAAATCCATGAACATTAAAATAGTGAAATTATAATAGATCACCAAAAGCTATTCCTTAGGCTACCAGCAGTTGGAAACTCTGAACTTGGAGAGTGGCTGAGTCCCTGTCAACCTGAACCTTCTGAGATCCCAGAGTTGGCTAGGAACAGGGCTCTGACCCCAGGGAGTTCAATCTTTAGTGTTTTCTCCCTGGACAGGGAACTGGGCTACCTTACCTGTAACCCAGAAGGAGCCCTGACTTCCCAGAATCTTGACCTGGGAAGGGTGTTTCCAGTGGAAGGGCATGATCTTCTTTCGGGAAGCTTTGCAGGGCAGCTCCACGATGTCCCCTGCCTTGGCCAGCACCACTTCTTTTCCCTGAGTGATGGCTGGGAGCACCGCTAAGTGCAAAAGAAGGGGGTCAGGCCTCCAGGCTGTCCCAGCCCCATCCCTGGCCTTTGCATTTCCCAATCAGCCCCTCCCAGGCCATCTGCACCTGGACCCCAAGTCTGAGCACTCACCTAGTTGCAGCACCAGGAACAGGTGCCTAAACAAGGTTCGCCTGTTCATTGTGGCCTTGCTGAGGCAGGCAGGGACCTGAGCCTTCCCCCAAGAAAGGGCAGGGCCTGAGGAAGATATTAACCATTAGTCAGAAGGCATTGACTGGGCCTGGGGCATACATACAAGGATGATATACAATCTCTCCCTTATGACCTGTACTGCCAGGCCAGGGACCCAGACGTACAGACACCCACAGGCAGGTGCTGCACCACGCTGTGTCCAGGCCAAGGCTGGGTTTTCTGCCAGGTGGAATCAGAAAAGAATTCATGGGGAAGGTGGTAAACTGGTGGGGATCGAGACCAGGGATCCAGGCCAGGTCAGGATGGTCCTTGAATGCCAAGCTGGGAGGCTAGGACCTGACCCTGATACTAGGGGTAAAGGCTTTTATGTTGGCCATGCTTTGATTTGCAAAAGGGATCCCTTCAGCTGCCTCATGGAAGATGGTTGGAGGAAGCCAATCAAAGGAGGCAGGACTGTGACAATCGTGGTGAGAGAAAAGGAGGCCTGAATTCAGAGAATAGCTGTGGGGATGTGGGAAAGGAGACTGACCTAAGGAACAGTTGTGTGGTTTCCTAGGACTCAGGGCCTGATGCAATGTAAGGGGTGAGAGAGAGGAAGAGCAGAGGGCAATTCTCTGCTCACTATCATACCAACCCCATGAGCCTCTGAGGGGGATAAGAAAAAGGCACTGTTTCAGAGTTAGACGAAAGAGTGGTTTCTGTGAGCCTTGGGGAGGCAGTTGCAGGAAGGCTCAGGATGGACCTAGGGGGTCAGGCAGCCTTAGGTTAGAGCAGAGGGTTCTCCAAGTGTGGTCCTGAAACAGCAGCAGCATAGTCACCTGGGAACTTATTAGAAATGCAGATTCTCAGGCCCACCCTAGACCTGCTGAATTCAGAAACTAGAGGTGAGACCACCCGTCTGTGTCTTCATACCTTGGGTTACTGAGCTTGCTCAGATTTGAAAACCATGCAATCAGATGCAAAGGAAAGGGCAGGGGCATCCCAGCAGGGAGGGCTGGGAGGCCAGAGGCAGTGCGGGAAGTAGCTGGAGATGCCAGGAGGAAGGCAAAGGCGCTGGGGGCTGTGCTTCTTGGCAGGCAGGTTAGTGAGTTAAGGCTTTGCTCTGCAGGTGACTGGGAGCCACTGCTGATTTTGCAGCAGAGAGGTGACATGGTCTATGTAAAGTTTAAGGAAGCTTGACATGGTAAATGGGGACCAGAAGACTTGGAGGGAGTAGAAACCTGAGGAAGGCCACCCCACAGTGTCTTGGAGGGAGGTTGAACAGGGCTCAAGTGTCTAAACTCCAGACCCAGACTATGTGGGCCTCAGAGAGGTACTGCCTTGGGAGGGATGTCAGCACAGACCTAGTCCAGAGCTTGGCAACAGGAGATCCTGCATCCAGACTTAGTTTTCTCTCCCCTAAGCCCAGTCTTTCTTTCCCCTAGAGGCCACCTTTGCTGTCTGAGCTCTGCAGCCATCTGCTCACTCTGAACTCCCGTGACCCCATGTTGACACCGTCTTGGGCATGTCTACTTTAGGGTACAATGATTTGGGTTCCCACCTCTCCCCCACCAGCTTGATCTCCTCCAGGATGGAGAGGGTGGTCTAGCCAGCTGTCACCACTGCAGACCTGGCACCAGCAGGAGCATAGAGTAGGGACCCAGAATATGTTTGATAAACTTAAACCAAATTGAATTGACCAGAGGAGGGGAAATCACTGATTTCTTCTCTCTGTACTCAACATATTAATTTTGTTTCTAAAAATGGGTCATGTAAGTGTCAGCACACAGCCGAAACTGGCCTGGAGGAGCCAAGGCATGCCAATCCATGCTGCCCATCTTATGCTCTCTCCCCAACCAGCCACTCTCCAACCTCTCTGCCCTGCTTTCCGCAGGAGGCTGGCATGGACAGACCACACCTCCAGGTGCCCTTGCTGGAGGCAGCTACTCACTGGGGTTGGCCAATGGAAGCACCTACAAGAGATGAGCAGGGGTAGAGGAGAGGTTGGGTATTTGTCCTTCCTTTGTCCCTTCTCTGGGCATGTGTTCTGGCAATGGTTTATTTCCCCCTCTCTCTTGCCAACCACAGCTCCTGTCAGGTGGCCCCTTAGCCATAGCTCAAGCCTCAATGGCTTCCAGAAACACCATCTCGGCCCTGGCCCCTCAGGCCTCTGCCTGCTGTTTCTAGTGTCTGCGTGCCTCAAAGGGCTGGCTGGTTCGCTGTCCACACCTCTGAGATAACCCCTTTTCTGCAGTCTCTTTAACCACTTGAGGCGGGTTCTGCTTGCTGCTGGGCACTGATCCATGACAGGGATGGAATGCTATCATGGGTGTTGGGAGCTTGGTCCTCCTTTAGGAAAGACAAAAAAGAAAGTTCCCTGCAGTCACCCATCTGCCTGGAAGAAGAGTTACCTGGGGCCTAACACAGGGTAGGGGCTTGGCACAATTTTTGTAACCAGGGAAATAGGAAGAGAAGAGGTAAGGAAGGAGGTTTCCAGGAAAAGAGGAGGGTGGTTGCTGTGGGGGTTGCTGTGCTCAGCTGGGACATGAAAGCATTGAGGGAAGGCTTCACTGAGAGTGGGGTAGGTGCGCCCTTACAGCTGAGAGGGGTCTCCACAGGCTCCTTCCCAGGCTCGCTGGGTCGTTGGTGTGCAGACTAAGGGAGTCTTCATAGGGGATACCCCTTCCCCGGGTTCCAAATACAGCTTAGATGCCTGAGGAAGCCTAGGGACATTCTTGACCCTTCCGCTGTGCGGTTGTCTTTTCTTCCTCACTCATGGTCCTGCGGTCTGTGCGTGGGCCGCCTCCCCACCTCCAGCTTCCAGCACTGCCCCGCTCAGCTCAGCAGAGCAGACTCCCAGCTTCCAGCTGCTGCGTGCTTTGGTGACTTGGGCTTCCTCTGCCGCCCCAGAGAGCTGGCCTTTGATCCCCACATCATCAGCCTCCCCCAGCGGCAGCGGTGCTACGCCCCAGTACAGTAGCATCCTGTGTACTACAGCTGCCTGGGGAGGCTGGGAGGGCTCTCTGGTCCCGCAAGGTCCTGGCGCTTCTCTCCTCTCTCCTCCCACTCTCTCTGCTCACATCTGTGTGTTTCTGCATGTCTGCTTCCCCATGCTGGTAACTCACTCTTCAACTCCCTGCGTCTGTCTCTCTTTCTCTGTGCCTCACATGCCAGGAGGCAATCCTGGCTCTCCTGCTCCTGGTCTGCCCGTGGTGTTCTTGCCTCTCCTCCATTTTCATCGCTCCCCTCTCCAACTGCCACTGAGCTCTGGTCCTTTCTTGCCTGTAAGCAGGTGTCCAGGCCTCTGGCAGGAAGGAAGGCTTTCAACAAGCCTTACATCAGGGAGCCTGCCGAGCACAGCCTGGAGCCAGGGATGGCTGCAAGGCAGATGGCCGCGGGTGGACTGAGGGGCAGGACAGACCCCCTCAAGCACACAGAGGAGCCGGAGGAGGGCGCCGGGAGGGAGGAGGAGACCCAGAGCAGCTCATTAAAGCAACAGCTACCTTCACGCCTCCAGGGTCACAGAGAAAGCCCAAGGCAGTACAGACAAGGGAGAGGCGGAGGGAAAGAGCTGAAGGGCAAGGCACGCACAGAGCGTGGCCCCGAAGACAGACCAGGACGACCACGAGGGTGTGAGACCGAAAGGGCACACCCTGCACGCCCTCAGAGCCCCTGAGGATCTGGCTGCTCACCCTGGCCCGGAGGTGGGATGAGGAGTGAGGCTGGGGAGAGGAAGAGGGCACAGCCCCACCGCAGCAACAATCTGTGGTCCCGTAGGCACTTTTATCTTCCCCCAGAGCCCCCGTCAGCCCCCCAAAGCCCCGCCGTGGGATGTGACCCCCACCACACGCACAGCCTCTCCGCCGCTCACTGGCTTCATGTAAACTTCCTAGAGACCATGACTGCTCTCAGGGACCCTTGTGGTTCCGTGGCTACAACCTCTAACATCCTCTCCTTTGCCCCAGACGCCCATGTCAGGGGAGCCTGGCCCCCCTTTCCCTGTCCCCTGAAAAATGCAAAACAGAGCTCAACCTTGGGGCCTCACAAACCCAGGCCTCCATCTGCTCCCCCGACCCCACACCTGCCCTCATCAGAGTTACTCCATTCAACAAACTGAGAGTTCAAAATGCCCAGGGCCCCCGGCCTACCCAGCTGCACGGGTGGCTACACCACCAGGATGGCCAGGGTCCGGTCTGGGTGCTACGAGGCTGCTGCCTGGCACAGCAGGTGGGGGGAGTTTTTATTTCATGAGAGACCTCCTAACCATAGGTGTCTCGGGTTGGAAGAGGGAAATCATTTCATGGGTTATCTCTGGCCTGTCCTCTGGGAGCTCTTCCACCTGAGGTTAAGAGGGCAGCCATTTTGTACAAGCACAAGAAATTATTGTCAAAACATGAAATGCAGTGATCTCCCCACCCAGTCCTACTCTGAGCCTTGCTCCCTAAAAATCAGCCTCACAAGAGCAAGACATTCAGGAAAAACTGTCCCACCCAAAGCGAAATCTGCATTAGCAGCAGACACAGGGCCTTTCTATGTTGAGGAATCTGGCTGTACAGAGGAGGCCGCTTTCCCAGAACTTGTGTAGAAGGGAAGGCCCGGGCCTGGGAACAGAGCTGCGAGGACTCGGAGGTCTTAGAGGAGAAGGACCAGGGTGTGGAGGCAGGAGGCGGAGATGTACAGGGCACCCCATCTTGAGCTTTATCATCTTCTGCATCCTCCGCTCGCCCGGGGTGAGCCCAGGGAGGGTCTGCATATCCCTTTCTATGCCCCCAGCCTTTTTTCCAGAGCAGCTGAGACACCTAAAACCAATTCCTTAGAACCAGTTTCTCTAAGGACATGTTGACCTGAATATACATATCTGCCCCTTTCATAGCACTGCATACCTAAGAGCTTGGTTTCCACCCTTTTTGAGAAATTTACCTTTCCCATTTCATTAATCATTTTAAAGCTCATAAATGCTGAAGTGCTTTCAGACATATTGTTCAAAATTCCTAAAAAGGCACAAAAGTAGACAAAAATGTCAAAATACACATAAACAGGAAAGATAGTTAAAGGAGGCTACATCAGTCACCCAACTTAGGAAATGCTGCACACAAGATTTCTGGTGTGACTTTTTGGTTGATTGTGTCATTGGGAAAATTGATAGTGGGAGAATCGCCTTTAGGCCAGATTCTGCTTCTCTTCCCCTTTTTCTTGATTTTACTTTGTTTCTCCTTTCATTCCCTTTTTATAGGCCTCCTTCATCCTTAATATGCATTTATTTTTATATTTCTTTCCCACCTATTCTTTCCTCCTTTTCCCTCCTTTCTCCTCTCACTAGCTTCATCTCCACTGCCCCAAGACTAGTTGCCTCCCACTGCCTTTGTCAGCGTGGCGGGGCCTCGAGCCCCCATTCCTTCTCTGATGCTGCAATCCGAGTCAGCATCCCTCTGAGGAGCACCTTCTGCTCTGGGCACTAGCTGGGGAGAGCAGAGAGAAGTTTGGCATAGTCCCAAGCCACTGGAAGCTTATGCCTCCAGTGGGTGATCGCTGCTCATGAAATGCCAAGGGAAGGTGGCCAGAGCTGTAGCCAGAGAACTGGGAGTCCGGCACATTCCAGCACATTCTGGAACAGCTGTTGCCACATTCTCCTCCCTTCCCCAGACCCTCAGAAAGGAGTGAAGCTGAGTCTACCCACCTTACCTCTGGGCCTGTGTCTTTCTTCCCCTCTGCTTCTGGCACAGATGCTTCTGTGTGAGGGCTGGGAGCTCTGCCACCAGGAGCCCGCGGGACAGAGTGCTTGTGACTTGTGCTTAAATGAAGAGACAGGAAGCCAGATAGGTTCCTCCACACCCTGGGCCTGGGCTGGCCCCCAACGTCACCACCTGAGGCTGGGGTCCCCACCCCTTGCCTCTCAGGGAAGATGTCAAAGTGAAAATGCCTAAGTCAAGGGAAAAAACTTAACCAGAACGGATTGAAGCCCATCGTCACTACAATTTCTTCTTGGGCGACCAAGAAAAGGCGCCCCTGTGCTTTTTCTCAAGCAACGAAGATTGTCTGGATGGCACTGCAGCCTGGTCCTGACTTCTGGGAAAGAAGTGGAGGCATTGAGAGCAGCTGTGGCAAGCCCCAGCAGAGCAGCACCTGGCTCCAGGGCCCTGAGGGCATTTGCTCAGTGGGTGGGCACCAGAGGTGTCTTGGGTGGTCCAGTGTGGCAGAAAGGGCCTGGGCTGAGAGGGAGATATCTAAGACACCCAGACCGACCATCAGCCAGACTCTTTTCCTCTGGGCCTTCATCTCTGGCCAACCCTCAGATATTAGCCCAGGCCTCTCAGGAGCTCCATCTGTCCACTGGACATCTCCACCTGGATGTTCACAGACATACAAATGCAACTCATTAACAACTAAACTTCATTTGCATATGAATACCCTCCAAACCTACTTCTTTTCCACATCTCCCACTCATGAGGGTTTTGCCGTCTACCAGCTGCTCAAGCCGAATAAGCGTGTGTCCTCCCTGACTCCCTCTTTGATCAACCTCTCCCATGTATTTATTTGCCAATTCCTGTGGCTCTAACTTGCTAATAGCCCTGGAGTCTATCCACTGCCTTCTGCCCCATGGCCACCCTTCCAGCCCAAGGGGCCATCACTGTCCTTTGTCTGGGCTACAGCTCCTGCCTCCTCACTGGGTTCCTGGTCTCCCCACTCTTCCTTCAGGCCATCCTCCACACAGCAGCCTGAGGGATCATTTAAATGGGCCCATGTGATCATGCTGTTCCCCTCCTACGAAAAAAGTGGCTAGTTCAGCTTGCAACTCCAACAATTAACACAAGTGTTTTTACTTGAGGCAACCATTGTGCTTCATTAGCAGGAGTACTTTATGCCACTTCTCATTTCATAACACAGTGTACTCAAGGTTTGAGATTTAATAAAATTAATATTTTCTGCTTCATCAAGGGTGTTCTTAAGTGAAACTGGCATTAATTTTTTTCTTTATTTTTTTCTGCAAGAGCCTGACAGTAAAAAATACAATGACACCACTGCCTTGATTTGTGCTAAGGCAGCAGTCCAACCCAGACTGCTTTTGCAACATCATTGCAAAGTCAACATAGTGGCAAAAGCAAAAGACACCCTACTATTTTTATGAAAATAGCTTGATCTCTCAAATCCCCTGAAAGGGTCACAGGGACCCCTGTGGGCCACACTTTGAAAACCACTAATCTAGAAAAAGTGTTTTTCATTCTTTAGATCTTAGCTATCTATCTCTCTGCACAGACCTTTAGTTGGTCCCATATCTGTTTTCTCTTTCTTCCTTAGTAATAGAACTCTCAATTTTTAGCTCAGTTCATGGTGCCCAGGTTGAAGTTATATTTTCCAGCCTCCCTTGCACCTGGATGTGGCCAAAAGACTCAATTTTGGTTAATGGATATACGCAAAAGTGTTAGGTGCAACCTCTAAGAAATGTCCTTACAGGGAGGGTGTGTGTCCTCCTCACGCAAACACACCCTCCCAATTGTTTACAACCAGTCTGCTATTCTCATTTTCACTATCTAGCTGGTTGCAGAAGGCAATTAAGTTTATGACCCCTGATCTAAACCAGTCCTCTCCATTCATCCATATGTTCAAGTGTTAAGTGTCTTCCAAGCCCAAGGCACTCTGCTGGGTGCTGGGGATGTGATGTTAGACACAGTCACTCCCCCAGCCTATGACATAGGCACTAAGCAGTTAATGCCATTACAGTTGGACAAGCTACAAAGGGAGATGCACAGAGGGCTGGGATATCTTATCACAGGGAACCTTATGGCAACTGGGAGATCAAGAAAGTCTTCCCTGGGAAATGTGTATCAGTAAGCACTGGGCTCTGCTGCAAATGAAAGAATCGTCAGCATAATAGAGGCTTACAGGAAACTGACTTTGGTTTCTCTCCTGAAAGAAGTCTGGAGGCAGGTGGCTCAGAGCTGAGGGAGGTGAGGGAGGTGAGGGAGGTGAGGGCCACGCTGAACTCTGCAGCAGGACTTGGTTGTTTCTGTCTTGCTGTTCCACCATCCTCCTCATGTGGCCCCTTCTCATAGTGTTAGAAAGCTACTCAAACTCTCAAACTCCTCAGTAGAAATAAGGCTTCCTTACGGTTCCCTTGTGGTAAATACCATGGGCTTCTTCTGCCTTGGATGCACTTGTCCAATTACGAAATTATTGTTAGGGTCTGTCTTACTTAGTATCTGGCAGGGTGCCTTGGGTCTGGTAGACCTTTAATATTTATTTTGAATACTTTTTTTAAATGTTAAATTTTATTGATATTGATGTTTTACTGTGGTAAAGTGTACACACCCCAAAACTTAACATTTTAACCATTTTTAAGTGTACTGTTCTGTGCCACTAAGTACATTCATATTATTGTGCAACTACCATCAGTATCCACTTCCAGAACTTTCTCATCTCCTCCAGCTGAAACTCTGTACCTGTTAAACACTAACTCCCCATTCCCCTTCCCTACAGCTCCTGGCTACTGAATAATTTTTGGAAGAATGAATGGAGAACTAGAGCAAGGGTCACACACTGAAATGCCTACAGGAGCCTGGGAGGTAATGCAAATGAGAAAAGCAGGCCAGCTGTAAACAATAAGGAGGGGTGGGGACTGAGGTAAACTAGGGGGTACCTGCCTCATATAATGAGGGCAGCCACTAACCACACAGCTCCAGATGGGCCTACAGTAGGGGTTGTACCCGTAAGTGAACTCAGTTCTGTCAAAATTTCAAGAGAAGGTGGAAGAGCAGACATATATTTAATATCTCCTAATTTTAATGTTGGCAACTAATTGTTTATTTTGCTCTAACACTGAATAAACCAAACAAAGCATTCAGTGGACTGGATCTAGCTTAGGGCCCAATGGTTTGCAACCAATGGACCAGATGAACTCTGTGATGCCATCCCACTCTCAGGTCTGTGACCTGCAACTACTATGAAACTGGGTTCCCAGGACCCAGCAGGCCCCGAGAACCTGGTTCTCCTCTGGGGCTTCCAAACAAAAAGGAAAGAGAAGTGAATGTTCGTTTTGAACATTTAGGACTGCTGTATGCTTTATATATGTGGTTGTGTATTTTATTTAGTCCTCCCAACAATGATAGGACATAAATATTACTCTCCAGACCACACAGATGAGGAAACAAGCTCAAAGGGTTTAAGAAAATTGCCAGTGGTCACAGAGCTAGTAGCTGTAACTGGAGGAGCTGGGATTTGAACTTACCTGCTTGGATCTATCACATGGTGGTCTCCCTCCCACACTGCCTGTCCTCTGCATCAAGCAAGGCCCGGTTGATGACTAAGAGGCCTCTCTCATGGTGACTGAGGGGGTAATGGGGCTGACATCTTCACCTGGGGCTTCTGAGGCTTAGCACTGCCATGATCTATAGAGTGATTTTCTGTTTTCAAAGCACTTTCATATACATTAGCACATGCCAGACCTTTTTGGTAGATACTATTATCCTTATTCTACCCAAGAAGAAACTGATGTTAAGGTAATGCCCCATCATTGATAGTAAGCAGGGAGCATGAGGATTTCTAGAAGTTTCCTGGTTCCTGACAGCTATTTTTGCTGCATGTTTTCTATCTCCAGGCTGGAAGAGAGGAGGAGGCCAAGGAGAGAGAAAAAGATGGGAAGCAGAAGGCGGCCAGCATCCTGGGCAGCCAACAGAGCAATTTAGGAGGCCAGGCTGTTTGGGAAACAGTAAGGGCATCCTGTGGAGTAGGGAAGTTAGAAGCCCCAGGTGCACTCTGTGGTGGCCTTCTTAACAGCAACGTCTGCAGCTGTGCAGACACACTCTGCAAAGGGGGTGGAGGCAGGGCTGGAGGTACCGGAGGTGGGGGAAGGGTCACACAGGCTGTTCTCTGGGAAGCAGTCCTAGAGCGCTGACCTGCCTCTTGCCAGTCCCCCAACCCCAGCCACATTCTCCCTCGCTCAATGACCACTTTCTGGAACTCTGAGAAGATGGTTCCGGGGCCTACTATGCCACATGGGAGGTTTCAGCAGGCAAATTTCAGAGCCCAGCCTGGCCTCAGCCAGCTGGCACCTGCAGCCCCTTGGAGAAACTGTCAGCCACAAGTGGGACAGGTGGAAGCCATCCCCACCATGACCCCATTCCTTCAAAGGGTGAGCTCCACCTTGGGGCAGCCCTGCCAGAACACCTACGCCCCTTGCTCACCTCCCTGTGGGAGGGCTAGTGGAGGGGTGCAGGCTTGAACCCTAATACCTCTGCCTGGTGGGAGAGATGGGGCAAGAAACTTTCTGGGCCCTTCTGGCCCCATAGCTATGAGAAGAACAGGTCAGGGGTGGGGACATACTGGCAAATGTGACCATAGGTCTGAATGAGCACATAATGGCCTCTAGCCTAACATAGGTGACTTGACAAGGCCCTGGCTCTCATTTGGCTCCCAGCACTTCTGAAGTGGGCGATGGAGGAGACTGCCAGGTCCATGGCAGGGCTGGCAGTGGAGGTGCTCTGAGATGCCCCTTCTGTGCTCTTGGACTATCTCTGTCTCTCAGGAGCTCTTCCCCCTGTAATAGCGGGCCTCTGAGATGGCCTCCAGAGGTTTCTCCCTCCTTCAATTCAAACCCTTATGTTGTCCCGTCCCAAACTGTATCAGCCTTGGTCTCTGTGACCAGTCGAATAGGGCAGAAGTCATGGTATGTCACTCTCCAGACTGGGTTCTAATAGCCTTTGTCTAGCTACCCTTTCCCTCTGGGGAAAGCCAATTGCTAAGTCATGAACGGCCCTAGGAAGAGGCTTTGTAGGGAGGAACTAAAACCTCTGGCCTGCAGCCAGCTGAAGGAGCCTTTCTGGAAGCAGATGCTCCAGCTCAGCCATTCCTTCAGACGACTCCGGCCCTGGCCCACATCCAGGCAGCGACCTCACTGGAGACCCTGCACCAGAAACTCAGCTGAGCTGCTCCTGGATTCCTGCCCATGTGAGATAACGTTTATTGTTTTAAATTACCAAGTTTTAGGGTGACTTATTATGTGGCAGTAAGTAACTAATATACCTTCCTTCCTTCTTAACAAGGACCTAAGATAATGTCACCCCCAAGCCCTACTGAAGGTTTCTGAGCTCCCTGTGTCCTTCATTCCCTTCCCCTCCAGGATCCCAGCAGGACACTGGTTTGCAGTTAAACTTGGAGATGCGAGACGAATTAGCCTAGCTCCCTGGAAGGCCCTAAGAGGACATGAAAAGGACCTGAGGTTATCCTGCTGGCTGGAGAGTGGGGCTTTAGGGGTAGGAGTAGGACTGTGTCACCCTTGAGAAGCAGGCCCAGACAGAAGGGGGTGAATTAATAAAAGGAACACCATAGGCCTGATCTTCATGCTCCCTCTTCCTTCCACCCTTTTCTCTTCTCTTTCATAGTGGGTGAAGGAAGAAGGTATCTCTTCATTCGGCCTCTGTCCCTCCCATCCCCTTGTGCAGGAGCTCGGGGAAGTCCCTGAATAGATACCAGGGAACCCTCAGTAACTACTCTCATAAACCCAGAGGGCATAGGATGTTATTACCCAGTAGAAAGGAACTTTGTCACCCACAGAACTTTCCAGGAAACCCCTGCCCCATTAAAACGTGGGGCTTTCATTGTGGAGAGCAGGGTCATGAGGCAGAGCTGGGGAGTCTTCTCCCAGGAGTCCCCAGCCCACAGCAAAGGGTGGGAATGATGCTTTGGAGGCTTCTCACGGGAACCTCGGGACTTTACCTTACAGCATGGGGTCTCTGGCAAGCACTACTGTCTCTTTCTGTGCCACTGCCTCTCTACCTGCAACAGGGCAAGGGCCACCATCATCCGAAGGCTCAGAACCTCACATTGCCTTAAATGGCTCCTTATTCAGGCTTCAGAGGGTGCCCCTCCCCCTAAGGCTCTGCACAGATCAAAGGTGTCCTTCTGTTTCACGTCTCTGGCCGTTGTGTCTCCATAGGGACAGGTCTTCAACCTCATGGTTTGTGTCTTTGTGTCACTGTGCACATGGTGTACAGGCTCAAGGAGACACCAGTACGGCATTGGCCACAGCAAATGTATATGCCACCATGTGGCTCCTGCAGGCTCCCTCCCACTCTCTTCCAACACTTTATTTCCAGGTTACAGTTCCTTGATAGAGCTGCCTGGGGCCTGCACATACTGCCAGGGCAAGGGGGCTGCAGGCCTGTGGTCCTCTATGACACTATTGTCATGACCAGGGCAGGCCTGCTTCCTCCTGCACAGCTGGATAGACAAATGCATCACATGCATGGAGCACACAGTTTCCAAAGTCCTTTTATCATCTGATAGTCACAACTCGTTTTGGTGGGTTATTATCATAATCCCACTTAACAGTGAGGAAACCGAGGCTCAGGGAGGTTAGTGCTGGTCATGTCAGCACAGCTGGATTCAGAAGCTGGGTGTCCTGACTCCCAGAGCTTCTCCCAAAGCTCTGGCAACAGCCAGCTGTTGTGGTGTTCTCCCCACACGGGGCCTTTGAACACAGCCCTCCCCTTTGTCAGACTGGGACCATAACCTTTGCAGGGCCAGGGCTCTGTGTCCTGAAGCAGATATTGTTTAGTCCCTCTCCTGGAGGGTATCCAGAGCAGGTGTGAGACCATAGAGAATGCACCCCACAAAGGCGGTGCCTGCACTAAAGGCTGGGTGCCTGCCTCCTGTTCTGCAGTTACTCTCAGGCCTGCCCCAGCCGGCTTGGTGACCTCGGTGGTGTGACACACAGTACCACTGGGTGGCAGTGTGTTCTCATGTCTGGGACGAGACAGGTCACTAGGAGCTGAGGAACGTCAGGATGGGATGGAGATGGGCGGTACTTAGCTGGCTGCCCAGAAAGGCTGCAGGACCTATCTCGTGGAGGCCTGGCATGGCAGGGCTCGTGTGTGTGTGTGTGTGTGTGTGTATCTGAGTGGGAAGACAGAGGAGAGGCTGTGAAAGTAAGGGGTGAAGGCTTTCAGCAGCTTCAGAAAAGCGACTTCCCAGGAGAGAGAGCAAGAGAGAGACCAAGGAAGAGGCACCCAGAGGCCAGGAACAGAGAGGGGAGAAGAACGCCTGGCTGGGAAAGTAGGTCGGAAGCCTGGGGGCCGGAGAAGGGAGCCTCCGGAGGCTGGGGAGAAACAAGAACCTTCTCTGGACAAGAAAAAGCCGGACTCGGACTTGCTGCTGACAGGGAGTTTATTTGGACTGAGCTGTGGAGACACACCAGCTGCCTCAGCTCCAGGTTAGGGCTGCTCTGGCTCCGGCTCCGGCTCCGGCTCCACTTCAGGATCCGGCTCCAGCTCTGGTTCTTGCACCAGCTCCCCTATCTTGCTCTGAGCCTGAGGTGGGTGACTCCCATGCTCTAAGGCCGAGAATCTTCTGGTTCGCCACTTCAGGAAGACACGAAGGGTAGGAGGAGCAGAAAGGTGAAGGGACAGGAAGGATATTGAGTCCTTTTATTCCTTCTCAGGCCCTGCCCTCCCCAGCTGGTCCAGGCCTCTTCTCAGTCCCTTCAAGTCTCCCTTGGGTCTTTCTGGCACAAAGGGTCCCTGGAGGGCAGATGCTTATGAAAAAGGGGCTCTGAATGCAAGTTCAGGAGTCGACCTTGGTCATCTTCACCAAGGAATGGGCATCCTAAGATCTGGGCAGAGAGCAAGCTGGTGGCAAGCTGGGGGTGTGCCAGGCTCACCTGTCTTCTCCAAAGGTGAAAGCCAAAGGCTCCAGCCACCGAAAGGAACAAAAAGAGGAAGCCAAGAATGAGAAAGATAGGGAGATGACCTATTTTCAGGGCACCTGGGGCTCTCCCAGAGCGTCGGGCACCTGTGGAGAAAGTGGAGGATTAGGCCTAGGGTCACTGCTGAAAGACCATCTTACCACACCCTCCAGTTTACAAATGCCAACAGTGAGTCCCAGAGAGTTTAAGGGACTTATCCAGGATCATTCAGCTAATTAGTAGCAGAATTGGGTCAGGTGTAGACAAGAGCTGGAGGTCAGATCCCTGGTTGGAAAGGAAAGAGCTGGGAGGGGACAAGGAGGGGTTCTGGAAGCAGGACTGATGTGATTGGTCTGGACTTGGGCTGCAGTGTTGTGGGGTCTCTGACCAACCTGTGCCAGGAAGCTCAGTGAGGTATACTGCTGTTCCCAGAAGCCTTTCCCCCTGGTACAGCTGGCACTGCCAGGGTTGGGAAAGGAGTCTGGCCTCCTGCATCTCCAGCCAGGGTCCTGGGGAACTCCTCAAAGACTGCTTGTCCAGAGGGCTCCACACAAAGTGCTCCTGTCCAGATGATGGAGTCACCTCACAAAGCAGTTTTCTCAGGTTGCCAGGTAAACCAAAGGATTTGGAAGTCACTAAAAAATTAGAGGGAAGAGATCTTTTGGGGCCTGAACTCCCTAACTTGAAACCATAGGTTCAACTCCCAGGTCTCAATGACCCTGCTCTCACTGGGCTCTGACTGGGTGAGGCTGAGGGGAGGGGAATCAGGGTCATGGCCAAATTGATCTCACCGAGACAAAGGTCTGCTCAAAAACTCTGCAGGCTCCCTACTGCCTTCAGGGGCCTGTTCAAACTCAAACTGGCCTGGAAGGCTCACATAACAAATACTATTTAGATTCTTTTACATTACTTTCTATTCAAATGCTCAGAACCCCAATATCTGTCAGGTGCCCTGGCCCCCAATATACTTTGTACAACAGAGGTAACAATATCTTTCCCATTGAGTTATCATGCAGATAGTGTGGAAAACTACCACAAGTCAGTTGACCCTCCAGAAGACCTTGGACAGAAAAGTCTGGTGGGCAACTGACAGGATGTGGGGGAGGGAAAAGGCCAGGTTTCAGAGTAAGTGGGGTAGAGTGGAGCAACTGACAGAAAGACTAAGTCAGCTAGAGGTAAGTCAGAGGGCGCAGGTGGAAAGTTAACACTGGCCCTCAGGAGATGTATTGTTTATTAGCATATCCCTTTATTCATTCAACCAGGATCCATTATTAAGCACCTATATGCGGTGCTACTAGTTAGTGGCCACAGGTAAGTACTGCACACACAGCCAAGTTGTAGTGGCTGATAGCTACCAATCAATCAACAGGTACTTTCTGAGTTTGGGGTTTTTTTTGTGTGTATATTTGTTTTATACTGTCTTGAAAAGCCCTTGCTCAGTAAAGATTTACTGACCGCTGACCAAGGGGCTGATTCATTAACTCCTCCCAAATTCAGGCAACTTTCTGCAACTTTAACCCAAACTCTGGCCCCAAAGTGGACAAGGATTCTAGAAACATATTCTACTTCTTTTGAACCATTCAAACTTTTGCCACCTCTCCTTTTCATTTCTCAGACCCTTCCCACCAGCTCAGAAAAGGGGAGTCCCTTAGAAAAGAGAGTGGAATGTTCACCTAGTGACTCAGGGGAGGTTTTCAGTTTCAGTTCTTTATATGGGGGTGAGAAGAGGAGGCCACAGGGGTGCCTTTGTCATTGGGCCTAGTGGCCTGGCATCATGAGGTGCATTTGCCCAGTCTTTGTACAACCAGCCTTCGCCCCCTGTCCCAGCTCCCCGGGTACGGGAGCTACTCCTTTCCCACCTGGGGCTGACCTGTGATGACTGCCAAAGTGACAGTGGCACTGAGCTGCTGCCCCTGCAGATGGATGTGGCAGGTGTAGGTCCCTGCCTGGGCCTGGCTCACAGACTCTAGCTGAAGGACAAAGTTGCCATTGTCTCCAGCCACCAGGAGGTCGGGGCCTCCCCCAGGAAGGGACCATTTGGCAGTAAGGGGAGACTGGGTCTCCACACCAGGAGGTAGGCGGCAGGGTAGCTCCACCGTGGAACCTGCTCCAGCATATACAGTCAGAGGGACTGGGGGCTCCAGACCTGGAGAGAGAAGAGAACCCCCAGTCAAAGCTGAGATAGAGAGAGAGGTACAGAGGGGCTGGAGCACTGGATCTTGGGAAGCAGAAGAGTGACGGGGGTGGCCTGGCTCTGAAGAGTGCAAAGGAACAGAATAAGATGGATGAACTGAGGATGCTCAGAAACCCAGGATGTGGGCTGGGCCAGCAGAAGACCAAAGCCTGGCAAGCTGGGCTAGATGGCCAGGGGAAAACTAGAAGACGAGAATGCAGCTGAAAGGCTGCCACAGGAGGGGAGAAAGGGATCAGGCATGGAGGCCTAGAACAAGCAAAGGTGGCATTAGCGGCTGAAGACCTGGTTTGAGGACCCATAAGTCATGGGGAGGTGACAGGAGGGCAGGAAGGGGTTGTGCCAAGAATAAAGGCAGACTGGAGGAGTTACCCAGAACAGTGAGGTTGTACGTGATGGAGACATTGAAGCCATCTCTGTAGGTGAGGATGCAGCCCCATGGCCCAGAATCAGAGGGGCTGACTTGGGGCAGGAAGAGGAAGCTCCCAGCTAAGTGGTGATGGGGGGACTCCTGGACAGGAACTCTGTCCCGGAACCAGTGCACGGAGGCTGGGAGATCAGGACGGCTGAAGGAGCAGTTCAAGATGAGCCAGTCGGAGGTCCTGAGAGACCCTGGGGGGCTGGCAATCACTGGGCAAGGAGAGAGAAGGCTTGATCAGCCCAACCAGAAACACTTCCCCAGCACAGCAGGCCAAAGAGGCTGGCAGCTCCTAGGAACAGGCACCGTGGTGTAGATGTCTTTGTCTTCTCCCCCACGCCCTCCTCCTGATCCCCCGTAGCACAGTGCCTGGAACTTGGTGGTACTTAAAATTGATGCCCAGGAGTCTCCTGCCTTCTTCCCTGCCTCCTGCCTCCAGTTTACTTGGCTTGGTCTACCTGCCCCTTTCTCTAGACCTTGTCTGAGGATCCCCACTAAGCCCACCCCAGAGCTGCAGAAGTCTGAAATGAGTCACTGTAGCCCCACACTCTCTCCCTCCCAGACGTGCCTCCCCTCCTCCACCCTGACGTTCCCAATGTGGGCGGGGGAAGGGGAGCTTGAGGGATGATACAATCTCTCCATAGGGTCCTCCTCCCCCACACGCTCTTCTTTGGGGGTACCTTCCACTCGCCTTCGGGCTTTCCACCCGCTTCCGCCACCCTTCTGGGAGCTCTGTGGCAAGGCCTAGGGTGCATCCTTAGAAGCACAGGCTCGGCCCCAGCCCTTCCTGCCTCCCGGGCGGGCGCTCTGCTCCCAACCCCGCTCCCGCGTCCCCTCCCCACGTACTCGAGGCCTGGCCCACGCGCAGACGGAGGCGGCAGGCGAGAGCGCGGTCCCGGAGCTGCACCGCGGCGCTGTACTCGCCGGCGTCGGTGCGTCGGGCCGGGCGCAGCCACAGTGAGAAGTCCCCGCGCTGGAGGCTGCGCTCTTCCAGCTGCACGCGGGGCTGCAGCGGCGGCCTCCCGAGGCGCAGGCCCCCCGGAGTCAACCTCAGCACCACATAGCGGTGGGGCCCCGACCCCCGCGGGGCACGCCCCACGGGTCTGGGGCCGGGGGCTGGAGAGAGGCTGGGGGCGAGAGCCAGCTGTCCACTGCATGGGAGAGAGATGGGCTTGTGAAATTCCAGGGAAAGGAAGCCCTGGGGCAGATGCAGTCTCACCACACCAAGGATGAAGAAACCCACCCAGAAGGAAGGTCTCTTGACCACCAACCAGCCCCTCCGTGTCCCCCCTTCGGTTGGGCCAGCAACCATCCATTCACTATAGGCCGCAAGTGTGAGGGGACCAGTCTGCAGAGGAAGGGGGTCGCTGAGCCACTGGTTTCAGAGGGACTGATAGCTCAGAGGAGGTGATGGGGTTGGCCTGAGCCTTGGTTGTTGAGTCTGGATGCCATTACTGCTGGATTTGGGGGTTCTGTAACCCAAATTCAGGGTGCCTACCTGTCTGGTAGATGGTGCCAAGTGACCCCTCCTGTTCGCAGAAGGCTGAGATCCTGGAGGGGGATTGTGGGACTGCAGGGGAGCTGGGCAGGAGCCCCCTCCTGGGCCCAAACCACCGGGACCTCTGCCCCAGACCCTGGAACCTCCTCTGGGGAGGAAAAGAGAGGCCAAGGGGAGGGGCCATGAGCCAAGAGACATAGGAGCAAACAAGGAGCCTCAGGTTCCTGAGGTGGAGGAAGACCTTGGGTTTCTGCCCTTGCCTGCTGAGCAGGAGACTGAAGAGGCCTTGGGGACTGAAGGGCTGCCCCAAGCAAGACTTTAGCAGAGTCCACCCGAGCTAAGGACCCTGGCTTCTGTGTGGTCATTGAGAGACCCCTGCTGAGCCCCTCCTGTGGGTCTGGAGGTCAGCCCTCCCAGAGAGTCCTCCCCACCTTACCTGGAGTCACCCACTGCTGTTGCAGGAGCAAGATCAGGAAGCAAGCCTCCCACATCTCCCCTCGGGCCTGGGCCACGCTGAGCTCTCCAAAGGGAAGTCAGAAAGGGAGGGGGATGGATGGACAAAAGAGAGGTTCTGCAAAGAGGAAGGTGGAGAAAGAATGTGGAGGAAGAGGGACAAGGACAAGGCCTGGGGAAAGAGGGAGAGACCAAGGACCAGAGGCTGGAATCCAGAGGAGAGCTGGCCTGAACAGGCAGATGGAAGGGGAGTGGGGATCCCAGGGAACGGGACAGAGTAGTGGCAGAGAGCAGAGTGCAGGCAAAATGGCTGTCTTGAGCTGGGAGGTAGGTCTGTGGCTCCCAGGGCCCTCGCCCCTGTCCTTCAGCCTTTCCTACACCTTCCCCACTTCCCCTCCCCGTTAACCTCCCCCTACACCCTCCTCACACCCCAGGGCTCACAGTTTCACTTCGCAGTGGAAAGTCTGAGGGGGTTGATTCCCAGCAGCATTACCCTCCACCCCTGTAGTGGCACTCCCCTTGTTTATTTCCTCAGTCCTGGGTGTCCCCGCCACCTCCTCCCCTCCTGTCTCTGCCCTTTCCTAGGCATCTTCTCTCCAAACCATTTCTGCCCAGAACTACCACTTGCCCATCACTATGCTGTCTTCCCAGTCTCAACACTAACTTTCTTATTGGCAACCCTTTCCCTCGTACTCATCCCCTCGTTACCTTAACCTCCCAGAACTTTTGTTACCCCTGTAGACCTGCCTCCCCACCCATCCAAGTAAGATGAACAGGAAGCTTTACTGTACCCTAACAACGGGAGGTCTAGGGAAGAGCACCCCTAGCCCAGGGAAGAGAATAGCTACACTGCATTGTGCTTTTACGATGTGCCAGGCACTTTCCATACAGTAACTCATGAACTCTTAATATTAATGTACAGATGAGAAAACCGAGGCAGGCTCGGACTTTAAATTTGCCAAGATCAAATAGGGTGAAGACAAAGCTGTGTATTTGTGTGCATGCATGTATTGTCCTGACCCTGGGTGTTTTATCTTTTCATCTTTTGGGAAGAATGGTGGTCTCAGTGAGTCACACCTGCCTCCAGCTGATCCCTGAGCAGCTTTCTGATCCAGAGGTTCTGAACTAAGTGAGGGCAAGAGGCACATGGAAACATGCAGAAATTTTGCAAGACATCAAACTAGGAAAGGAAGCCTGAGACTGAAAGAAGGGAGCTCAGCCTGAGGAGCCCAGCCAAGAAAAGTGGCAGGCAGCTGTCAAAAACTCCCAGTATGCCTGGGAACCAAAAGGCCTTGGAATTCTTCCTCTTAACCAGCTCACTTCCTCAGTGCTGGGCAACTCTCAACTCCAGGTCCTAAGGAGATTAAGACTCAGGCCTTGGGGCACTGTCCCACTTCAGGGGTGGGACTTCCTGTTTCTGAGGCTGTTTCTTTGCCTGGTTCAGCACAACAGAACTGATAGCTTTCCACTGGGCTCAGCAGGGTCTAGACCCGGCGTGGGCTAGCAGGGAAGTGTGTACTGATGGGGAGGAGCATCCCCAAGAATCCAAAATCAGTACCATAGTCAGTGCTCAAAGCAGCTGAGCCTCTGTCCACCCCTGGGGCCCTGGGTTTGTGTTGAGTGCTGGCTGACAGCAAAGTGTCTGCCTTTTCAGAGGAGGGAAGGGGCCCCCAGAACATGACATCAGCCACCCTCCTCCCTCTGGCCTGGGAAAAGCAGAGACAGGTTAAAAACAGAAGCGCGACCATTTCTTTATTAAATTATACAAAAGGGGGAGGGGAGAGGAGCAGCTGTGGGGCTTGGCCCCAGCCCTGGCCCCGCCCCGGCCTGGCGCTGTCTGTCTGAGAGAAGGGGATCTGAGGGTGACCCAAGGATCAGGCAGGGTAGGGGCGGAAGGACAGGAGGCTGGGATGCAGGGGTTAGGAAGAACAGGCTACTGGAAGGGGCTGGGACTGGCTGGGGGAGGAAGAGGGCAAGGACAGGAGAGGAGCACTTGGGGGCCAGCTGGGGAGCTCAGATGGAGCAGGTCAAGGGGTGGACGACGGCAGAGTGAGGATGGAGGGGGCGGTGTCCGGAGAGGTGGACAAGAGAAGGCTGGGGAGAAAGGGGGTGGCAGCTCCTGTGCAGGACCCAGAGCAGGGAGCCAGGTGGAGAGTGGCTGCTCTGTCGGTTCCACCCCCACCTCCAGACCCAGAGGAGCCTCCCGTCCCCAGCCCGCTGGCAGGGGGCTCATGCCGACGCCCCATTTTCTGTCTTCTGCCTTTTGGGATCCGCTTCATCCTGTGGGGAGGGAAAAAGTTGGGGTTACTGAAAGACGGGAGGGGCCTCCCCCTGTACCGGGCCTGCTCCAGCCCCCGCCCGGGCACTGCGGGGACCTGGGTGCACCTCCACAAGGCTCCCAGCCTCTGCTGCATCCCTGACAGCCCCTCAGGCCCACAACCCAGCCCAAACCTCCTCTTCAGCAGCTCTCTTCAGCGCGGGCCCTTCGTCGTCGTCATCTTCTTCTTCCTCATCTGAGGAGCCAGAAATGGGTCATTGGGGAAGGGCAGGAAGCTCCGGCAGGGACCCCCTGTGGCCGCCCTTAGCCCGGCTTCGGGTCTTCAAACCCACCCTGACTCTGTGCCTTTGAGCCCAGACTCCCCTGCCCCTCCCCACCTTCCTCTTCCCCTTCATCCTCCTCTTCTCCGTCCTCCGCGGTTTCTTCTTCCTCCTCCTCAGCCCCGTTCTCCTCTTCCTGCCGGAACCCGGACAGGGAGCAGCGTCAGGCTGGCTGCGAGCCTCCACCCACCCTCCCCACCAATGGCAACGGGCACTGGGCGGGCCCTGGGGGTGGGGCCTAGCGGGAGGGGCTAAAGGAAAGGCAGGCTCCGCCCCCACCCGTCACTGGAGGCTGGTGAGTCGGTGGTGGGCACCCCGACCCCTCCGCACCTCCACCACTTCTTTCTTTCGCTCTTTCCGGCCTGCCTTCTCCTCCACCTTCTCTTTCTTCTCCTTCAGGTCCTGCAAGAGAGAAGTCAGTCACCTTTCCCTTACCATAAATGCTCGGCAGCCACGTCCCTCTGCAGAGCTGACAGAAGTGTGAAATGGAGAAGGTGGACACAGCAGCTTAGAACAGACGTTCCAGGGTCCTTAAGGCCACACAAGGGCCGAGGCCAGACACGCTCCTCCCCAAGACCTAAGGGAGGAGGAAAGGTGATGGAGAAGGGTCACAGGCGGCCAAGGTAGCCGCTCACCACCTCACCAGGTTCTTCCACACCTCACAGGCTGGAGTTCAGCTCAGCAAAGCAAATCCCTTCCATCTGCTCGCAGCCTGATGCCCCACCCGCTCCGGAGGTCCCTCTGTCTTCCAGGCCTGCCCCCTCCCACTGCCAGCCCCACTGTGCCTTTTGTCTACCTCTGGGGCCTTTTCCCGAGTACTTTCTCCTGGGCATCTCTCCCAGCTGCCCCTCAGCTTCAACACCCTTTGTTTCTCCGTCTGTCCCCCTAACCCTCAGGCTCCTACTTGGCCAAATGCTACAGGAACCGGGAAAGCACACCAGCAGGAATCTGGCACCCCCTCACTTCTTGCTACTCCTACCCCAATATAGTTCAAGTAGTTCCCTCCTCTCTATGGCCTGTGATGTATGCATCGGTGGGGTGGAAGGGGAGAAGTAACCATTTCCTTGGGAAATGGAGGTAAAGTGGGATAAAGAAACAAGGATGGGAAAGAGGACCGGATATGGTAGATGAAGAGAGTCAACATCTACCACCCAGTCTCCGGTGGGATGGGTCCGTCGGTGGGAAGGCACCAGTCTAGAGTTTACCTCCTCCACCCCAACATCCCAGTAGGCACACCCCTGATGGCCTGTTCTGTCTGGGCACCACACTGACCCTTCCAGTTTAGATCCAGTCCTCTCTCCTCCCCACCCCTTGGAAGGCACTGAACAACACTGGGTGTCCCTGTGATCTGATCTAGGGTTGGTGTACAACTCTTGTGTATCTGATTCCATGTGGAAGTTTGCTTGAGTAGGGTGTGATCCTTCTGGAACAGGCCTGGGACTGGGAGAGGTTGCTGTGGAATGGTTGGCCTGGAGGGACACTCAATCCCTTTTCCCCTGCAAGGGGAGCATAGAGTGGCTTGTCCCTCATATTCCAGCTGGGTTTCTTCAAGCTACTAGGCTGTCCTCATTTCTTAGCCACCTGGTCGGTGTGGCCTTTCTACTCCCCGGTGGGCTTTCCCCTACATCCTGGGTCTGGAGAGCCAGGGGCTATTCAGCTTCCCTCTGAGGGCCCTTGCACCAGGTCTGTGTGGCCCTGGCCTGCGCTCCCCATCTTGGCTGCTGGAGAGAGGGAGATTACCCAAGACCAAAGTCCAAGGGGCCGGGCCCTCGGCCTTCCCCTCCCCTGTCCTGTCCTTCTGGTCACTGTCCTTCCATGATCCTTTTTCTAGCAGGATATATGACCTAGGTCTTGTATTAAGCAGCACTCTGGCCTCATTTACTCAACACAGGCACACACACTGACACAGGCTGACACCAATTCAAACACACAGCTACAGAGAGGAGCAAGCGCCCACGCGCTCCGGAGACACATGGTCCGGTGTTCGGACATTCTGACACACTCTCTTGGGACAGCACAAGAGCACAGTGGAGCCACTTGGCACAAAGGACAACATGGCTCCAGAAATCTACGTCTCCACATGCACACATGTAACTGACACGGGCAGTCCCACACACTCGCTGGATTTCAGACATACAAAGACACCTACTCAGTGAAGTCACATGCCACCGCACAGCCCACCGGAGGACCACACGGCATACCTTGTCAGACCTCACACAGGCCCCTCTCTCTGCTACCTTTACCCCATTGGCTCCAGCCTTTTACTTCCAGGGCCTCCAGACCTCTGACAGCCTCAGCAACTGCACCCCCCAACCCCCCAAGGTCGGGCTCCCAGCCCCCAAACCCTGGCCGAATTAATTTCCCAAAGCGACGCTCAGCAGGTTCCCCAGGGAAATTAGAGGAAGGCTGGAAGAGAGGCAAGAGCAAGGAGATGGAGCCAGGGAAGGAGCTGCGGAGAGCAGTGCCCTGCGATGCTGAGCTCCAGCTGCTGCCAAGGCTAGTCCCGCCCCACTTCTGATTTTTAGGAATTCGAGACTCCTTAAGTGTGGGGGGTGAGGCTAGGGAGCGGGGGTGCTATGTAGAGAAAAGAAAGCCGAAGGCCAGTGGAGGGACGAATGGCTATGGATGGCAGAAACGGAGGGAGTCAAAACAGGCCGAGGCAGGAGCTGTCCGAAGAGAGAAGCAAAAGATGGCCAGGTCTCAAGGGGAGGGCCCCGGGAGCAGTCTCCCGGGAGAGTCCTGTTTACACTTGAGGATCTCAAACCGCTTAGCAGAGGAAAAGTGAGGTCAGACTGGAAGGAGAGACGAGAGAGGAGAGGGGGCAGAGGGGGTAAGGGAGAGAGGGGGAGAGGGGGAAAGGGGAAGGGCTCAATCAAGGTGAGACGTGGAGAGCTCCAACGGGAAGCCGGACAGGGCAGAGGCTCGGCCCGAGAGGGGTGGGGACGGCGGCGCGGGCCCGGCTGGGCCGGGCCGGAACAGAGGCCCGAGCCGCGGCGCCGGGGGAAGCTAGAGGGCGCTGGCGGGCGGAGCGGGGTAGGCAGCGCCGGGCGCGGAGCGGGGGGCGGCGGGTGGAGTGGGGTCCGTCGGGACCCGGCGTCAGGGCAGCGCGGGGCCGTCGGGGGCGGCCTAGGGCACAAGACCGCGCGGAGCCCGGGGATCGCGCGGGGTCCGGGCCGCCGGTGTCCCCGCCCGTACCTTGGCGCTCAACTCGGCCGCTGCCTCCACGCTCTTCTCCGACATGGTGCCGGGGCCGGGGCCAAGGCTGGCGGGGAGCCGGGGTCCCGGAGCTGGGACGGAGGGGCCCTGGTCGGCGGAGGGTGGCCGCGACCGGAACCTGGCGCGGTGGCGGCGGCGGCGGCGACAGCGGCAGCGGCGGCCGCTCAGCAAGCTGGGTCTCTGGAAGAGGCGGCAGAGGCGCGCGGGGTGGGGCGGGGGTGGGTCTGGAACCGAGACCCGCAGGGCTGCGGCCGTCCGGAGGGCGGGCGGGAAGGCGGTGCGGGTGGTGCGGGCGGAGGCCGGCGCGCTCCGGCCACGGTCGCTTGGCCCTCGGCTCGCCGCCCCCGCACTAGCAGAGCTGCGACCAGCCGCTGCCGCCCCCGGGAAGGGAACCCGCTTATAAAGGCGGCGCTGCCCGACGGGAGGGGCTTCCCAGGGGTGGGGCAGGCGGGAGCAGGGAGGGAGGAGAGGGGAGGGGATGAACGCGGAGGTTGGAGAGGTGGGGATAGGAAGATGAAAGCGAGGGGCGGGAGGGAGGACCGGACCGGGAAGGGGGAGACCGAGCGACTGACTGTCTCGGAGAAAGGAGTGGGGCGAGGAGGTGGGAAGGGGTGGGGTTCCTGGGGGAGGGACCTCTCCAAATCCAGACCTCCTGCCTGCGAATATGGAGTCTGTCTTTTGGGGGCGGGCTGGAGGGATGGCTAGAATCCTACCGATCCCCCCCCAAAGCCTTGAGATTTTGCCAAGGGATGGGGTGGGGGGAGCAAATGGAAAGGCTAGGCAGGTATTGGAGAAACCCAAAGCCTGAAGAAGAGGAAGAGGGTGGGGGAGCTACTTCCACCTCGCGCTGTATTTCCCCTCTCATCCTGCATCTCTGTTCTCTGGGTGGCCTTGAGAGGGGATGGGAAGGCGGAAAGGGCAGCCCACCCTCCGTCATGCCCGTGGCGGACGTTTGTGACCCCTGTCGGGTTCCTCCCTTCCTGGCTCTGGTGATCCGAGGGGAGTGCGGGGCTCCGGGCCTCCCTTTTCTCTCTTCCAGCTTTGGCCTTTCTTGTTCGCCCATCTCACGTCACTCTTCTTTTCTTGGTCCTATTTCTTCTCAAACCTCATGCCTCTGTACCCAGACCCCTCCCTTACAACCATGCATATCTCACAGCTCTTACTCTCGGTACCCCTTCTCCATGTCTGCTGTGTCCTCTTCTGCCCTTCCACCTCCGATCTGGCCCTTGCTCTCCCAGGCAACACTGTTCTCTGCCATCCGAGTCTGCCACCTGGCCCTATATCCTTGGCTGATTTTCCACAACTCTTTCAGGTCCTTGTTTTCCACATTTTCCCTCTCTGCTTTTCTCTTTCCTGTGCTGCCATCACCCCCAGCCTTTCTGGATTGTATTTGCCCCCTTTGCAAGGGGTCCGGGTCTGTAGTTCCAGCCCCACCCTTTTCCAAACCGCCTCAGTTCCTGGTCCTCAGTCTCAGTATTTCTGGGTAATTTTGGGAAGCTTGGGATTTGAGGAGGGGACTGGAGTTGTGGTGTGTGTATTAAAGAATGTCAGAAAGGTCGGGAAGGTGGCTGGAGTGGAAGGCTAGGGTTTATACCTTGGCTGTGTGTGCACTCCCATATATCTATTTTACCATTACTCATTTTTTTATCACTTTAATCTTTTTAAGACACACTAATCAAGCATCATCATTTGGTATTTGAGTGTGTAAATTACCATCTTTTGGTTCTTTAGTGTACACATCTCCCAATTTCTCTTCCCGACTTTTCTATCAGTTTCTCAGTGTTCTTCTCCTCAAAATCCTGGAGCCCCACCCAGGTTTTTCCTTGCCGGACTCTGTCCATCTTTTCCCTGAGATCTTTCCATCTCAATCTGTTTCTCTGACTCACTCTCTGATGTCTTTAGCGATCTCTGACCCTCTCCATCTCTGCACTCTCTTGCTTAATTTCTCTCCCTCTCCTTTACCTCTCCCCCCCAAAGTCTCGCTCCCTCCCCATCTGTCTCTTTCCTCTCTCTCCCACCCTCCATTCCTCTTCCCCCATCTCCACCTCCCAGCCCCTCCCGCAGTCTCGGACACCCTGCTGGGCTCTTACCCTGTTACCCTGGTAACCACCCCCCACTCCGGTCACCTCCACTCCCCTCCCCCCTCCAATCACCGCCACCAACAACCTCCATCCACCTTCCTCCTATTTTTTCCTGAGAGCCAATAGAAACCCTGTTGCCAGGTGGAATGCTCATTTGAATTAGCCAATCCAGGACTCCAAATGCTTGCCCTGCCTTATATGGGGATTTGAGGAGGGCCACTCCCCCACTCCAGCCCCACTGGGGACTAGCCCCTCCACTGTCCTTTCTCCCCGCGCAGGAGAGAGCCTGGGACCCTCCCTCTCACCCTTCAATGAGGGCTCGGACTCTCTTTTCTCTAACTGGGACCACCGGGGTTAGGGTGGGTTGTGGGCCGGACTATGGGCTGGGCCTCATAAGCCGGGGGTGGGAATGAGGTGTGATTAGGGAAGGAAGGCGGAGGGAGCCGGGAATTTTGCCCAGGGAGGGGTGTCTGGGAGCAGTGGCAGCTGCAGTGGAAAATTCCAGGGAGATGGAGAGGCAGAGAATGGGAATCCTGCCCCAAGGCCCAAGGGAAGGCCTTGAGAATCTAAGAGTGTGGACACTAGGGTCCGTAGGGACCACAGAAGAAAGATGTAGGAAGCAGGAGGCCTGGATCTAATTCCTGCCTTTGGGAGAAAAGCACCTCTTAATCTTCCCTGTCTGGTTGGACAGCAGACCAGTTTCCTTTAGTCTTGGCTTCATGCGAAAGAAGCTAGAAGTGAGACTTGGGATGAATTTGGAGTGGGATGCTGAAAGCCTATCCCCATAGTCCTCGGAGGTTGTCTCTGGGCCTTCGGGGCCACGTGTTAGATGACAGCCTAGGTTTGCTTCTTTCCAGAGAACTGTATCTGAGGCCTTGTGGAGGCTTGCCTATTCCTCGAGTTCTAACTCCACAGAACTGAGAATTTCTCCCATTAGTTGAATGGGGAAGCCTGTGCTTCTTACACATTTCTGGAGGTGGGAAAAAGGAGGCCAGGTGAGAACAAGGGAGTCATGCACCCCCTGAAAATTATGACTTCTGGCCTAAAGTCCTAGGAAGTCACCTCACTACTACGGGGAAGGTGTTCAGTTCTAATTATTTCCATCTCCTTCTTAGGGGAATTATTCTCCCCCTCCAGCTTCTGCTTTTTTTCAGTTTGCCTATTTATCTGACAGGTGAAGTGCTGAGGCAGGCCTAGTTACCACTCAAGGTATTGGATGACCCCAACCTGAAAGAGGAACCTCCCCACTCCTCACTGTACTTTTCATCCCCATTCCACTGCAGTAGACTCATTTCCAATCCATCATTTTTCTTTCTTTCCTTTTCCTTAACCTTTTCAAAACTCAAGTCAGTTGAAAGGAGATGTACTCCTTGAGAGACCTAAACAAGCCTAACTGATTTTGTTTGCTTTGAGTACACTGCCCCCGGGAGTGTTACTTAAGAAGTCTTCACAGCACCACTAACCTTATTCACCATGAACGCTACCAGTTAGGTTGTATCCATCATCATATCCCACTCACATTTAAGCAGAGTTCCACTCAAAAAAATCCTACATTTTATTTATGTCTTCTATACTACACTTGAACTCTTGCACTTCAATAAACTTTCATTGCCTACCTACTAAGTGTTAAGCATTGTGCGATGTGAGAGACCCACAGCTGAATGAAAGAAACATGGTCCCTGCCCTGCAGAGTAGATGCAGAGAGCTCAAAGTACAACTTGAAAGGGGGCATTTCTACCAGTCAGAATAGACAGCACCCTGTCCCATCTCCAGGGGTATCCCTTTTCAGGACCACAACCCTGATTGATGTCTCCTGATTTCACAAATCCTTATCCACTGTCCCCAACTCCAAACAGTCTTCCCTGGTTCCTCTGCTCTTACCATCTCCCTCTTTTGCACAATACCTCACACAGTGTGAGGCACCAAAGAGGAAGAGCTCAATACATCACTGACTGCCTAACCCTGACACACCATTCTGGACTGAATCTCAGAGCCTCTCGAGCTTCTGTCTTTGAGGAGGTTGGGAAAACATAGGACATGCTGCCAAAACACAGGTTTGCCTCACTCCCACCTGGGATCTCACTAAGTACTGCTGTTCTGTTGGTCACTGTCTTTTGAGGAATCAACATCATGAAGTTACTGTGACTTTCCAATTTGCCTGTGAACTCTGTCCCCAGCAAGAAGCTTTGGTTTTACCAAACCTCTCATTTGTATTATCTGATTGGATTTTCTTATTTTCCATGCCCTCTTCATGACCTGTCCTTTTACACCTAGAATAGTTTGCTATTGCCCAACCCTCCACTGCCCTCCTTTCATTTTCTCTGCCATGTGTGCTCTTTTCAGAAAGCCTTTTGCAGGCCTTCAAAAAAATCCCAGAAAGGTGACATTTATAAATGCTTTGTGGCTCTTTCCAATAAAATGTTCTGTGATAATGGAAATGTTCTAGATCTGCACTCTCCAATACGGTGGCCGCTGACCACATATGGTTACTGAACTCTTGAAATGTAGCTAGTGCAGCTGAGGAACTGTATCTTTTATTTAATTGTAATTAAATTTAAATAGCCACTTGTGGCTAGTGGCTGCCATATTGGACAGCACCACTTTGGACCTTGGCCCTAAACCATCTCTTCTTTCTTCACATTTCCCTTCTCCATCCCCAGAGCTCCATATGGGGAAAGTCAAGAGCAAGTCTGGCTGCTGTGTTGAAGGTTATCTGGGCCCCTGCTGTCAAATACATTACCAGAGGTGCATGTTTGTTCAGGGTTTCCACATTTTCACAGATGAAACAGACTATGGCTGAACCAGAGGAGAGGAGAATAGAACTGAAAAGGCGAGGGAAAATGGGACCAGGAGTGACAGCCAGACTTATTTTGCCCAGAATAATCTTTTTACCAGAATGTAGAAGATTGAGGGAGGACTGAATAACAAAGAAGAGTATTGACAGTGTTGACTGAAAGCTTCCAGGTGACTCCAGTCTCAGAGGGTCCTGTCCCTAAGGCACTCCATCAGACACTTCTGTGGTTTTAAGTCCCACTGGCAACACATACCTCTAACACTGATGACACTCAAATCTGCATCTCCAGTGCTGCCTTTCACTCCTGAGCTCCAGAGTCAGGAAGCCAACTCCCTTCAACTCTCACTGGATCCTCCACAGCTTCTCAAACCCCACATGTTCCAACTGAAATTCCCCCATTTTGTTACCAGTTAAAGCTTCACCCATTAATTCTGTCCTTCACCCATTAATCCCACCAAGGGGTCATGTTGAGACTCCACCATTTCCTCTCCTGCCAGATCCTTCACATTTCACTTTCCAAAGACTGAAAGCAAATTGTTTTGCTCCAACTTCAAAATATATCTAGAATCTGACCACTTCTCATCACCTCCCTATAACAACTCTAAGCCACCATCACGTCTTATCTGGATTATGGCAACAGCATGCTAATAGGTCCTTCTGTTTCTGCTGTGTGCTCCCCCCTCCCTGCAGTAGTCTATTGTACATATAACAGCCAGAGTGATCCTTTGTAGGTCTTACAAAGTCCCATGTGATTTGGCTTCCCTCTTCGTGACTTTGTCTCTTACTGCTGCTCTTCCCTTCATTCTTATCCATCTAGGCACACTGGCTTCACTGTTGTTCCTTGAACACACTAAGCTTTCTACTGCCTCAGGGCCTTTGCACATGCTATTTCCTCTGCCCAGAATGCTCTCACCTCAGCTATTCCTCACCTTGTTCAGGTCCCTGCTTAAATATCACCTTATCATTGAGGCCTTCCTTAGTCACCCTTAAAAGCAACCACCACCTCCCAGCTGCATGCCTGTTCTTCTGTTGCTCTTCTGCCTTGCTTTTCCCTAAATTATTACTATATCCTGAGAATCAGGAACAGTACCTACCACATAGTAGGCACTCAATAAATATTTATTGAGTGGATGTGGATAAAACAAACTGAAAAATTGACTTTTAAAAAATGCTCCTGAGTCACTTTTTAATCTCACACTGATCTGGTATCTTCTATACTACTCACTTTTTCTACCTAGAGCACTTTAATACTAATTCTCAGGGTATATCTCCTCCCCCAGTACAATTCATATATATATACACACATGCACCCAGCTACACCCATTCACTCCAGCTCAAGCAAGAAATCTAGTCTCCCCTAACTCCCACATCATTGCCCCGTCTGTTCCAGTATCCACCTGCCCTGGGCTTGCTTCAGATGCATGACCTCACGTCTAATGAGGGCCCTTTCTCTGGCCCAGCTCCACTCTCTCAAGAACTTCCTGATTTTGGCTCCATCAGATAGAGCAGTGAATATAGGAACCACTTTGTTTCTCTTCCTTCCCAACAACCCTTATCCTCCTTGTGTTAAGCCTCACCCTTGGCAGGGCCCACTCGCCCTCCTGTATCGTATCATCTACAGGACACTCCAGTCACTGCAGAATTTCTGTGTTCACTAGAGCTCATTGGACAGAGATGGAGGGAGGGAAGGAAGGAAGGAAGGTAGGTAGGGGAGGGAAGGGATGGGAAGAAAACGGAAGGGAGGATGATGGAGAAGGCAGACAGACAAACTCTGGTTGTGTGGGACAGGAAGGTTACTCCTAAAATTACATTCCCTCAGTTCCTGGAGTAGATGGCTGCCTATGTATTATGTCTCTGGGGACTCTGAAATGAGCTCTTGCATCTCCTCCTTCATCCCGACTCGTTCAAGGATTTCTTTCTAACCTGAGACAAAACCCAGGGTTGAAGCTTTGTCGCACATTAGAAACCAAGTTGTCACCTGTCAATAATCCTAGGAGAGGAACACGTTGATTTAAAATCATGCAAAGGTAAAAATGACTTATATCAGATTCTTAAGTTTGGGAAAGAAGAAGAGAAAGGGCTATAGGCTCCTAAAGGCAGTAGGTAGAGGATACCAGGTAATAGAAAATGAAAAAAGGAGGCTTGAAGCCAAGTTGTATCTCCTAAGTTGTACCCAGTCCTGTTGAAGGTTGGACATGATGGAATGAGAAGGGAGAAGCTGAAAGGTGAGGGGCCACATTAGTTAAGTCTGGGCTGTAGAACTCTGGGATGACTCCTGATTACATGTCAAACTGCTTTTGTTTGGGGCAAGAGGAAAAGGGGCAGTTGCATGGTGGGATGTCCAGAGACAGAACATCTGGAAGATAAATTTAGAAGATTTTACTAAGTCTCTTCCACAGAAATATCAATGAAAAACAAATTCTTTTGTCTTTGTCTCTTTTGGCTTTGCCAGTCTACCAGCTGCTAAATTATTTGTCTCGGTTCCCCTCTGTCTCCACTATTGTTCTTTTTCCTCTTTAATAATGATCAAGTCCTAAGAAACCTGAGAAGCCCTGCTCCCAGTACCTTTTCCTGAGCCACCAGAGACCCCCTCCTTCTTCCCTAGGGGAGTATTAGGAACAAGTCTTTCTCACTGTCAGGTTCCACATGGCACTAATGTGGCTAATAGCCAGAATAAGGAACCAGGGAGGGCTAGAGTTTGGATAGGTCTGGTTTAAAGTCCATTCTAGACAGTCCAGATTCCCCTGAAATCCAGGGGGAGGGCCCATCTGGAGAGAGGGGCCAGATTTTTATGTGAGACACTTTGTATATGTCAAAGGATCAGTCTGCCCTTGGAGTCACGTCCCCTGGGTCTGTTTCCAGCTCCGCCTCCGGGCGACCTTGGTTAATGGAGTTCTCCACCTCTTTCTCCTCCCAAACTGCAGACCCTTGACCCACCTAACAAGAAAGACAGGGGCAGGACTGGGAGCTCTCGAGTTACAGAAAAGAAAGGGGAGACGACACTAAACTCAATGACTTCACAGCTACAGCCTTTTCCCAGTCCAACCCTTCACAGCAGGCTGAGGGGTCCAAGAGCCTCCCCAATGCCAGCTTCCAAGGGGCTCCAGCTTGGCCAAAGGGCGCCATCTGGCGGCCGGTCCCCTCATTTGCATTTTCCTTGCCCCAGCCCGAGTTCTCGAAGCCAGAGCTAGACCTGAACTGGAGAACTGTCACCTCCTCCTCTACGTCACTCCGAGGACCCCGCCCCTGCCTAGAACGAGCCTCCACTCGGAGCGCCTGGCCCTAGCACCTCCCCCGTTGAACTGCCGCCCTTCCTCCCTCGGGCTGAACGCGGCTTCAGCAGAAAACCAGAATAATGCTCCCCACGAAGGAGCTGCCCCACCTTGCCGCCTGCAGGGAGCTCGCCCCGCCCCGAGGGGAATCAGCCCCTAGTCCTCTTCCTTCCTCCGAGGCGAGTTGCTGTCTCTCCCACCTCCTCCGCCCCGTCCGTCCCGAGGAAAGGATCCCTCTGCGCCTCCCCACATCCTTACAGAGAGCCTCTTCCAGACCACAGAACCCAAATCCAGGTTACGAATGAGGGCTCCCCCCTTCCTCCCCTCGCTCCCAGGGGACCCCGCGGTCCCAGGCTCGGCCGCCCCGCGCCCTGCCCCCGCGCCCAATAGCCCCGCGAGCCAGCCCTCCTCCCACGCCCAATAGTGGGCGGGGGCTAAGCGGGCCCGTCCCGAAGTGGGCCGTCCCTCCGTGACGTCACTTCCGACCGGGCCTGGCCGAGGATCTGGCTCCGTGGGCCGCGGGGGGGTACGGAGGTGGCGGCTGTGGGAGGAGGCGGCGCGGGAGGCCGAGGAGCTCAAGCCCGCGTCCCGAACCGCAATCTCTGATCCTGCAGTGCTTTGAGGGGCGAGACCGGCCGGATGGGCCGCTGAGCCCGAATCGGGGACCGGTGAGGCTACAGTAGAGCGGGCAGCCGGGTCCGGGCGGGAGCGGCCCGCGAGCTGCAGGCTCTGGGAGCCTGGGATGCAGGGAGGGGAGAGGGTCGGGCTTGCCTCTCCTGGTCTCCGGGCGGGGAGGCCGGGGCGGGGGAGCCGCCAACCGGCGCGGTTGGGACAGTGAGGCCCGCCTGGGGGAGGCCTGGCAGCGGCTGGTGTAAGGAGGGGCGCGGTGGCTGGGGTCATTAGTGGGGCGGAGGACCAGCACTTGGGATTTGCATCCGGGACAGTGGCGTCCGGGGGGAGGGGAAGTATGTTCCTGGCCAGGGCTTTGGGAAGAAGATGGCTCAGAGTTGAGGTAGGCACAAAACTGGGAGGCTTGGAAAATTTTTCCCCGGCCAACCTTGAGAGAGAGGTTCGAAGAGGTCTTTTTTTCCCTAAAAGGTGGTGTTGAAATGCCTGGAGAAAGGTCGGTCTCTCTCGAGTTCGGGGTGAGGGGTCAGTTACATTATTTGGAAGAGACAGTGCTCCGAGATTCCCACTGCGCTTGATGTGCAAAAGCCTAGCCACCTCTAAGTATCTCTACATCTTTACAGTGTGGAGCCCCCTGGAGCTAGAATCAGGATGTTCCGCTTCATGAGGGACGTGGAGCCTGAGGATCCCATGTTCCTGATGTGAGTATCCCCTCCCCCTCGTGCTCTAGAGCACCCCTCCCACTCCACTTCAGGCCCCCGAGTGCTTAAGGCACTCATCTGGGTTCCCCTTGCTGGCACTGGATAGAACTAGCTGGATGCTCAGCTCCAGCTGGGACTTAGAGGGGAATTCAGGCATCTGTGTCACTGTTTCCCTCTCAGTTTTCTTTTTGGTGGGGAGGGGGCTGTTGACTGCTTGGTCCTTCTGCCATCTGTACTGTATGCTGACTCCACAGGGACCCCTTTGCTATTCACCGTCAGCACATGAACCGAATGTTGTCAGGTGGCTTTGGATATAGCCCCTTCCTTAGCATCACAGATGGCAACATGCCAGGGACCAGGCCTGCCAGCCGCAGGATGCAGGTAATGTTGCTGCAAGTACCTGAGAATCAAAGGCTGGACGGTGTTTATTAGAGCCTTTGGTTTTTCTTGTAGTACAACCAACTGAGCAAGTGGAATGATCTAGGTGGCTGAGGGTGTCTGAAGAAGGGGCTTTGTGATCCCCTTTTGAGAGGAGGATGGAAAAAAAGCTGAGTCTGCTGGCTTGGTTTGGGATTGTAACTAGATAGGATGTGGTCTCTGATTTCTGTTCCTTATATAGGCTGGGGCCGTCTCCCCCTTCGGGATGCTGGGAATGGTGAGTCGTGATTTCCTTGTGTCTTCCCTCTCAGGTGGACTTCATACTTTTAGATTTTATTACCAGATGTGCCTCTCTGAGTAGCCTAATGGTAACCCTAGAATCTTTTTATAGTGTTTACAAAGCCCATTGCGTGCTGTGTGTTAAAGATGCTAATTTACTGACTCCTGTACTTCCAGGAGCCATCCCCATTAGGAAAACATAATTAATTACCTAGCAAAGTTTGTCCTTTTGAGGAGGGAGGTGCAGCTGGAAGGGGCACAGAGATGGTTTTAGGTTTTTTTTTACATTTTTGTGGCGCAAACCATTTATAGGTTAGAGTCCACTAACTTTGGTATGCTTCCTAAAGACAGGAGGAAATAGGGAAGTCTGGGGAAGAAATATTGGGTCAGACAGCCAAAGAGCCCAAGGAAGAGGCAGCAGTATACAGAAAGAGGAACAGTCAGTGTTCTGATCATGCTAGTGACGAACAAGAAAGAGCAGCTTCTAGGTGTGAAGGAAGAGGAGAAAGGGGATATGTAGCCATGTGTCTAGTGGATACCTAAGCAAGATCATCTTTGCTTCCCTGACTCCATTTTCCATCTCTTTGCTCCAGTCGGGTGGCTTCATGGACATGTTTGGGATGATGAACGACATGATCGGGAACATGGTGAGACTCTTGCCCCATCCTCTCTTGTGGCCTTGTTCTTGGTGGTAGCTGGCACACCTTGAGTCTGAGGCGAGAGTGGGGGAGAGTGTGAGGAAGGGCTCAAGCTGGAGAAGTGAGTGGACCCAGAGAGCCCTGGCTTCCTGTGTCTGCCCTCGTGCCCGAAGGAGCGGCAGCACTCGTAAATATGCAGTTGAGGCTCAGCCTCTTAAGGTCCTTCCTGTTTATTGTTGGACTCGGAGGAATAGGGGGGAATTGATGAGTCCTGATGTTTTCCCAGTTCTCACATTTTGTGAGAAAGGTAGGGTCAAGAATGGGCAGCTCAAGTGTGGGGTCCCTTCCTCAGAAGTGACCTGGCTCCCTCAGTCCTGCTGTCCTCTTCCCACCTCAGGAACACATGACAGCTGGAGGCAATTGCCAGACCTTTTCAACTTCCACTGTCATCTCCTACTCCAACACGGGTGATGGGGCACCCAAGGTCTACCAGGAGACATCGGAGATGCGCTCAGCACCAGGCGGGGTGAGTGGAGGGTCCCTCCTTCCCAGCGGAGTCAGGATTGAATGATGTGCACAGAAACCTTAGCTTTATCAGGGCTGGGCTGTGGGCTGTCTGTCCTGGGCCGGTATAGCCAGGGCTTTGCAAGGAGTGGCTGAGTGTGCTGTGTTGTCTCTTCCAGATCCGGGAAACTCGGAGGACCGTGCGGGACTCGGACAGTGGACTGGAGCAGATGTCCATTGGGCATCACATCCGGGACCGGGCCCACATCCTCCAGCGTTCCCGCAACCACCGCACAGGGGACCAGGAGGAGCGGCAGGACTACATCAACCTGGATGAGAGTGAGCCAGCCTTCCAGCTCAGCGCCCTTCCCGCTTCCTGTGCCTCATTCAGTTCCTGTGAGCTAGGAGAGAACAGTTTTCTCTCCCCATCTCTGTAGATGTTTCTTGGGCAGCGTTAAGCCTGAGCCCCGTATTCTTACCTCACTTGAGCCTTATCAGCTTAGGGCTGAGTCAGGTGCTGGCAGCATCCTCACTGAGGAGAAGCAAACTTTTGTCTCCAAAGTCAAATATTGATGGTATTCCCTCCGCCATCTGGGTCAGCTTTTTTTCTTTCTCCTCGTTTTTCAAATCAAAAAATATAAAATATTTACTGTGTATGTGAACTGTGCGCCTTAACTGAATATCCCAATTCTGCTATTTTTCTCCAGTAGCCTTAGGCCTGCTAGAAGCTTCCAGAAACCAATGCTAAACCTAAAATTGCTAAATAAAGAAGTAGCTGCCCTTCCCAACACTTCCCACACATGTTGAAGCCTTCGCCCTGATTTTGGTCTGAGAAGGCTGAGGCTCACTTTTGTGTCTGCCTGCAGAAGCCAGGCTGCACACAGGTTATCAGTCTGGTCTCTGTCCTCTTCAGGTGAGGCCGCAGCATTTGACGACGAGTGGCGGAGGGAGACATCCCGGTTCCGGCAGCAGCGCCCTCTGGAATTCCGACGGCATGAGGCCTCAGGGGGTGGGGGCCGGAGGGCTGAGGGGCCTCCCCGCCTGGCTATACAGGGGCCTGAGGACTCCCCCTCCCGACAGTCCCGCCGCTATGACTGGTGAGGGCCCTGGGCCCTCAGCCTCTCTTGTAAGTGTCTGAGGGGGAGGACTGGGTGGGCGTGGAGCGTGGGAGGGGATGGGGCGCACGGTGCGCATTGCCCTGCCGTGAGGCGGTAGCCGTCTGGGTGCCCGGCCAGCACTGCCTTGGTGGTGGGAGTGTCAGAGGAATGCTGTCACAGGAATAGGGGATTGAGCCCCAGCTCCTGGCTTTTAGGTTGTGTCTTCTCTCTGACTTGTGCTCGTCTTTCTTCTCCAGGTACAGGCTGAGAGGCTGGGAAATCATCCCCTGAAATGACTTTCCCTCTCCAACTCCCACTCCCGATTTAATATTAAATTAACAGGCAAGCTGGTTCCCACCTCTCCCTGGGGGCCTCAGGGGGAGCCTGTCACTGCCCCGTTTACCTACTTTCTCCTTCTTTAGTCCCTTTACCATGATAACTCCACGTCTCCTGTATCCGCTAACTTGATTTTCCATTTTGCTGCTCCATCTTTGACCTCACCTTCCCTGTAATACCCCTGTCATGCATCCCAGGGGCTCTGGGATTGAGTTCTGGGTCTAGGGGCCTCCTCCCTCTCTCAGCTACCCGGGGTCTTTGCCCACCTCCCCCTCGGGCCCTCCCCCCCCTCAGTGCAGGGCTGCGTAGGAGGGAGAGGACTGGTTCCCAACCCTTTTTTCCTTCCTGGCCCCACCCCACCACCACCACAAAAATCTCCCTACACCCTTCTCTGCCTTTATTTTTTGATTTGTGTAACTTGTAACTAGGTGTTTATGGAATAAAGGAGAATGGAAAAAAGACCAAATAGAATTCTGGTTTTCCTTTTGATCTTTTCCTTGTTCAATTTCAACCCTCTTATCTTCTTCTATCACCTTCTTACCTTGCCTCTGTCTCCATGGTGGCCTTCTTACTTGGGGTTCACACCTGGTACCTTGGTGGTCATGACAGTGGGGCTGGCAGAGCACTGGCAAACACGGGGCAGCAGTGTGACTCTGTTGAGATCGGTTGGGGGTAAAGAGCCACTGTATGCTGGCCCACCCTCACCTCTGCTGTAACTTCACTCACTGGGGGACGTGGGGCGTGTATCATAGGGGCCTAAGGTATTTGCTGCCCCTGGTCCCTTAGGCATAGTTTCTTCCCTGCTTTGTGAGTGGGAACACATGTGAGGAGCCAGAAGGGCATAACCCTACACAGGCCTTCAGGGGGAGGAGCTGGGGGTCAGCAGCGTTCTGCAAGCCCTCCACCCCATTGTTGAGAAATTGAGCTCAGGGAAGGCGATCAGAGAAAACTAAGCTGGAACCTGAGCAGTACTGGAAGGGCATGAGGCGCTCAAATTTCTGAAGATGCTCACTCTCACTTGACCTGGCTTAGCCAAATGGGTCACTCAATTCCTCTAGGGAAACATTTTCATGGTGGTAAATGCTTGTGAGTCTAATGGTGGTTTCCTCTATAAAACTTAAGTTCTTTTCAATTGGCAAATCAAAGGAAAACCACATGGCTCTAGATCCTTTCAGGGAAGGGTGAGTTTTCCCCATGTCACTGATGGGTAAATATATTACAGAGGATTGGTCCAGTCACTCAGCAAGCGGAGATGAAGTTGAGCTCAACACCCAGGCACTGACTGCGTAGTCCAGGGCAGGTACTAAGTCTCACTAAATAGGGCTGGTGAAGTGCATGACTAGGGTCAAGGAACCAACCAGTGGCTGAAAGAAAACAGGAATCCCAGAAATCAAACACATTCTGTGCCCCTGCTGTCCCAATGTAGAGCATTCCCAAGAAACCTGTAAGCCAAAGTGGCCTCAAGTGAAGAGGCAATTACCATTAGTTTATATGGGAAATTTTTTAGCATTCTCAAACCCAAAAAATAACCTTTTTCAGACTGTTCTGATACTTTTGTAACACAAGCTTGGGAAGTTACCTTTATAGATGATCTCCATCTGGATTGCTGAATTGTGGAGGATGGAAGGCAAAGCCCTCAGCTTCCAGAACCCGCAGCCCTCAGCTTCCAGTGTGATGCACGCTCTGTCCAGACAGACTCTGTCTAGGCTTCCCTCAGCCTCCTGAGGACGCAGCAGGTGAAGGAGCCCTGGAGTTGGAGGAGGAGCCAGAGGCTGGGCCCTGAGCTCTGCTACCAGTCCAGCCACAGGGTCTTGGCAGGCCATTCACTCCCCCGGGCCTCAGCTATGCAGGTCCCTTCTAGCTACAGTCTCAGGCTCATGCCAACCTTTCAACCTGGACTTCAGGTCCTGCGCTCATGCTGGGGCATAGTTATGTGTGGGGGCTGGAGCAGGGCAAAGGTTGCCCTAATTTCAATCTAGGTGAGTCAGTCAAGTGTTTTATAAGCTCTCCCATGTGGGTCCTCCCTTTCAGACACATGAACTAATTCTCACCCCTGCTCCCTGCTCCCCGCTCTTGGGTGAGGACCATCCCTCCACCCAGTAGTTAATCCCAGGGCCTGCGACCAAGTCTCAGCTGTGAAATGTGGGGAATTATTTAGCAGCAGCCACCAGAGTGAGGTGCTTAAGAACAAGCCACCTGGCCCTTCCTGACCTATCTGCCCTTGGGTGAGGGCCAGGGAGCAGAGATGGGAGTTGTGGGCAGCCTGCTGACATTTCTGGTCAGCTCTCCAGCAGCCCAGCCTCATTCAAAACTGCCCCTCCTTCAGCTCTTGTTCCAACAGATGTCCAGAGAACATGGTAAAACTCATTCAGATTATCCCTGCCATCCCCCTGCCCAGGAAATTAGAGGTTGGCAGAGACTAATACTTGGTGGAGACTAAGAACTGTATAGAGGAGGGAAATGATTACAGATGGGCATGAGCAAGAGCCGGCTCCCGCTCTTGACTGTGGTTCTGGGAAAGCCTCTTAATCTCTAAACATCAGTTTCCTGCTTTGTGAAATGGGCCCTTCTAGGCACTGCTGGCAGTGGGGACATGGATTCATACATCTGGATTGTGCGGCCTGGGTACAGTAGCACAGAGAAAGCATCTGACCCAGCACAGAGGATGTGAATGACTGACTGCTCCCCTGTCACTCTGTCCCTGTCCTGCTCCTTCAGTGCTCCCTGGTGTCCTCAGGTCTTTTCAAATATTTCCAGACACAACCTGAAGGGTGTTTTCCTGGCCTTAATCAGCCTCCATCCCCCCAGCCACCAAGCCTCAGCTTTCACCCTTCCCAGGCCTTGGCTTCACAGACCAACTAGAAATGAAATGCTCTGGGCCAAGCTGACCCGGCCCTGCTTATAGTGTGGGATTTTCTCCCTCCTATGGTAACAAAGGGCCTCATAACCTATTAACACCCTTTACCCAATACCCCTTCCTCTACCCAATGCCCAAGTCACATAAACATGACCCAGAGAACCAGGAGCTGACCTGCAGTAAGAACCCAGAAGTCTGGTCTCCCAGCCCACCTATTCCAGTTTTACCCCATGTACCTGTCCCTGTCCAGCCCTTATGCTTCCAGTCCTAGAAAGGTCATTCCAGGGGCTGAGGGAGCAGCACGGGTCAAGAATTCCTTCTCTCAGGCCATTCCAGTTGGGTGAGGGTAAGAAGGGGGTAGCCTTGAGCTCTCCAGACTTCACTGGGGTATTCAGAGAGGAGGGGGCGGGAACCAGAGGAGGCCTCACTGAAATGGGGAGAAGACAGGGACAGTTGGGCACAGGAGGCACTGAGAGGTAAGGGAATAACCATGGAGACTGTGGGCATGGGGAGGGGCCTGGCGCAGCTGGCTCCCCTCAGGGGCCCCGGCCCTGGGAGGCTGGCATGGCTCGAGAGAAGGGTACCTGCAGAACTCAGGATGCAGAAGGCACAGAGCTGCTCTGGAAGGGGAGCTGAAAGCCTCCACGCACATGCCCACAGCTCTGAGCCTTCCCGGCTTCAGTGTCTGGCCTTATCTCAGGTGGTGCCTCCCACTCTGGGCAGGCCCATACACCCCATCATCAACCCTGAGCTGAGCTGAGCTGGGTTAGCCTTCAGAGCTCCTTGCCTTTTCTCTGCCCCCTCACCTGAAGACTTCATCTTTCAGATAGGGACAGGGTGCTGCCCGTGGCTCCTCCCAGCATCCACCTCATCCTCTTACCTGCTCTGTCACCTGCCATCTGCCATGCTGGCTGATTCCAGACAATTATCTCCACGATGCCAGTGTTCTTCTCTAGCCAGGAGACCAACCAAGTGTCTTGAGGGGTCTGTGATGAGGACATTTGGATACATGAAGCTGGAGAATGGGAGACAAGAGAGAAGGGGAAGCGATCCTCAAGTGGGATTGAGTTTCTCAAAGAGGGAGCAGAAATACCTTGGAAAAGGACACGGAGACACTGAGGTGGGAAATGGTTTGATGAAAGTAAACAAATAGGTTCTTAGAAATTTACTGGGGGATTTAAATATATTCTGGACTTGGCGTGGGGGATTCCCAATTTACAGGGAGCATCGCAGAGAAGGATGGAAGCTGATTCTCATTACAGACAGACCTTAAGTTAAGCAACCCCAGTATATTATATAAAAATTTTTAGAATTGCAACAGACCTCAGAGACCACCCCTGACCATGCCCACATGTGGGAACAGGTCAGAAGCACCACACCAGACCTACGAAAGCAGAATCTTCAAGGTTGGAGAGAAATCCAATGCAGTTTAGTAAAACAGAGATAGCATCCAAAACCCTGCTCCTATTTTACTGTCTAAGACACAGAGGCAGCTGTTGGACACGACACAGCTACCTAGATGCACCGCAAGAGTCAAGGCTCTAGATCAAGACTGACACAATGATACTGACATGCTGTGCAGATGACTCACCGTGGGGACCCTTCAACTAGAAAGCTCCTTGATGACTTCAAAATAATTTGAATTTACAATTAAAATTTACCTAATAGCATGGTGTTTAAAATGACAGATGCCAGTAACCATGTACATCTTCTTTCAATCCTGTATTTTTTTAACACAGCAAAATTGTTGTGTTTGCGTGTGTGTGTGCATTTCTGAGTTTTAACACATACATATTTGTGTAAGCACCACAATCAGGATAAAAACAGTTCCATAGAGGATGGCGGCGTGAGTAGAGCAGTGGAAATCTCCTCACAAAAACACATAGAGCTATGAAAATATAACAAAGAAAACTCTTCCTAAAATAGAGACCAGAGGACACAGGACAACATCCAGACCACATCCACACCTGCAAGAACCCAGCGCCTTGCGAAAGGGGGCTCCACCACTTTGGAGGAGCAGCCCCAGCCAGGCCATGCCCACAGCAACAGCGGAGATAAACTCCATAGCAAACGGGCAGGTAGCAGAAGCCCTGCCTGCGCACAGCTGACAAGCATAAGCCACTAGAGGTCGCTATTCTCCCAGGAGAGGAAGGCCACAAACCAACAAGAAGGGAAGCTCTTCCAGCGGTCACTTGTACCAGCTCTGCAAACTATCTCTATCACCATGAAAAGGCAAAACTACAGGCAGACAAAGATCACAGAGACAACACCTGAGAAGGAGACAGACCTAACTAGTCCTCCTGAAAAAGAATTCAAAATAAAAATCATGAACATGCTGACAGAGATGCAGAAAAAAATGCAAGAGCAATGGGATGAGATGCAGAGAAAAATGCAAGAGCAGTGGGATGAGATGCAGAGAAAAATGCAAGAGCAGTGGGATGAAGTCCGGAAGGAGATCACAGATGTCAGGAAAGAGATCACAGAAGTGAAACAATCCCTGGAAGGATTTATAAGCAGAATGGATAAGATGCAAGAGGCCATTGAAGGAATAGAAGCCAGAGAACAGGAACGTATAGAAGCTGACATAGAGAGAGATAAAAGGAT